AGTAATGGAGAGACACCTCAGTAAGTGGGGGAGAGTAAGAAACTGAAGATGCCACTTGTCCAGTTCTGAGAAGAAATGGATAAAATAAAGTGACATGAACAAAGTAAAACTTTTGCAGAACAATGAAGCTAGTTTTATGTTTTGTATCTACAAATCTGAACAGACATCTTTTTTGCACACTCATATAATATATTTTTCACCATTTTTTTTCTTAACTTATATTAAAAAACGTGAGTAAATTACATTTATTATTCATGAATAGTTGTGAAATTATATAACCCTCCATCTTCTTATTTGTCAAAAAAACATGCCATCTTAAAATTATTTTCACTTATTTCTTTACAAAGAAAAAAAGTCATATTAATATTGATAATATAAAATATTATTAATTTTAGAATTATCGTGGATATTTTTAAAAGGCTTATCGATAATTAAAAAAAATATTTAAATTATTTTTAACTTTAATTTCTAATACTCATACTGAAATACATGCAATTTTAGAAATTAATAAAAAAAAATTTAGGATGAACAATGACACACAACCACTGGGAAAAAGACATTGACTCTTTTGTAGTCAAGATTATAGATATTTGTGGTACATAATCAAACTCTACTATTTATTATTCATCAGGTTTAGCTTCCTCGCAAAGAAATTATGTATTCCTAAGCCTCAGCCACCACCTACATTTCCTTTTCATAGTGGAAACATTTTAAAATGCTTCTGTAAAAATGTATATAATTAAGAATTTGAATTACAAGATTGTAACTATTGGTTTATAATTTAAAATTGTTGTATTTTATATTATTAAATACTTTTTATCTCTAAATTAATACAGTGTTCACTTTGGACCATAAATTTGGTTAGCACATGACCAAGTATCATGCAGCACCACTTGGTAAAAAAGCTATTGCTTTTCCTTTTTTAATATCTTTTTTTCTATCTTTAACAAGTGTTTGATGCAATCCTTCTTTCTTTTTCTTGTGTCACCTGTTTACACATCATGCAATATTATATGTACACTTGGATTTGTCTAGAAAGTTTTTAAACACCAACTTTATGTGTATATATGTTTCTCACCTTTTTTTTCTTTTTCTTTTTTATAAGAACAGACGCATTTTACTACATTCATTTATTATTTTAAATTAATATTTTAATTAGTTATATCTTAAAATATATTTAAAAATAATATTATAACTAATATATTAGTACGTATATTCTGCAAAATATTCTTTTTTGCATATTAAAATTCGTGATAAATAAATATGTTTTAAATATTTAAATAAAATTATATTTTATATTTGTAATATCAATAAACAATAATTTTCTCCACACCAATAATTATAAATTTCGGGTAAGAACTATTAGATTTACAAAATTGACGATGATACATATCATTTTCTTTGAGTAATTATAATATACTTAAAATAATTTTAAGTAAATTAAGAACACTGGTGTGTTATGGTTACAAATATAGCACTGTTAGTTCTATTAACAATATCAAAATAAAGTTCTTTAAATAACATTACAATTTGGTACAAGTTCAATTATGGTCAATATGCGAATATTGATGTTGCAATTGTAACCATAATTGAAGTGTAAATTAAATTATATAGTTAATAAATTTTGTCATTCAAACTTAAAATAAATTGGAATATATATGTTCATGTACAATACTTATTGTATAAAGATTTACATACTGTAAATCCTTAAATTCATGTTGCCAAAATATAGTGTCGTTATTATAATATAAAACCTATAAATAAGGTGTAAAACATGTAAACAAGGTGGTAATAAGTTTTCTCTTGGAAAGTAAAATTTATATCATATATATATATATATATATATATATATATATATATATATATATATATATATATATATATATGTGTGTGTGTGTGTGTCGAAAATTGAGTGAAAGTTGGATGGAAACAAAACTCTTAAGCATGCACAAGTGTCAGCATTATTAAGAGTACGTGAAGGAGGGGTCACAAATTCAAACTTTTTATTCTTTGATGGTTGTCTAAGCATGCAGGACTTTTGGTGGCAGAATAATAAGATGGCATGGGTAGTAGAAAGAAAACGTAAATCCACATGAAAATGCTGGTCAAATACGGGCTTCGTATATTGATATCATGGTTGAAGGCAAGGGAAATTATTGGTTAAGTTGATCTCACACTAACTGTTTTCAATTTGTTTACTTTTGGAAAATCGTCATTTAGGTTCTTTATTAAAGCATATATAGATGTTGTTTATGAAGTGTGTCATAACTTTCCCTATGAGGTTGGAAGGGACAACCTTGAATATACGACTTCATCAACTAGGTTATTATATTATCTAGTACTTCATTATTATCAAGAATGAGGTGTAAGGTGTCTCATGCATATACATACTTTTTGTTTGTTAAACAAGTATGTAGGTAGCTACAACTTTTTAAAACAATAAACAAGATAAGGTTATTGTTTATTATCTCCTACTTAGAAGATAAGCATATGACTTGAATGAAAATAAGATGAAGTGGATATATTTTTAAATTTTATATATATGTTTCAACCTTAATTAGTTAAAAGTGAAGGAACTGATTGGTACAGAGAACATGATACAAATGAGAATTTATAATTAGATTATATATAATATCCATGGATGGCGATGATGAGTGGTATTTTAAAGTGTGAAATTGTGAATTGTCCTCAAAGTTGTCTTATTATTATTATTATATTAAATAGTGTAGTTTGGACTTAAGTATTATTCTAATGTTTTTATTTCATAAGGATAATTTTTATTACAAACAAATAATTTTACCTCTTTTAATTTTAAAGTATATATATGTTGTATACGTCGTTGGGTGTTGAAAAATATTTTAGAAATATAAAATATATGATATGGAGCAACTTATATAATATTTTATTTATACACTAATAACAAAAAAATCAAATAATAATAATAATATGTCATTATTAATTTTTTACATTAAAATAATAATCTAATATTTTTTTCTAAACAATATTTTAAAATATTAAAATATAAAATAAAAATTATATATATATATATATATATATATATATATATATTCTCCACAATATATAATATTAATATTTTTTTCATATTTTATCTGAGTGTTATTTAACACACAGGGTTAGTCCTGTAATAAAGTGAACATTTATTTTAAAAATATATCATTTAGCATAGAAGAGTTAAGTGTAACATGCTTCTTTATTTTTTATATAGGTTTAGCAAAAACCTGACCCTTTTCTTTCATTTCATTATTTTTTTCCTCTTATCACTTTTCTAATTGCAAAAGGAGTAAAAACATGAGTAGAAATGGGTTTGTCTGAGAACTATTTAATAAAAACAGGTTTCATTTAAAAAAATATATGTATTTGACTTTGGGTTCTTGACCAACCATTGAAAAAGGTTAAAAAAAAAACGACGGAATAATTTTTCATGGTTTTATTTTATTTTTTTAAACGTTTTAAAAACAAAGTTACCAAACAGAACTTAATATTTTTTAATTTAAAAAACAATAATTTAAAGTTATTTCTTTGAAACAATTATTGCACAAAATTAGCATTTCCATTGTTCATAGTAGCATTTTTGTTATATGATCAATCCCAATTAGTTTTGAACAATTTTCTATGAACGAAAACAATGTCAAAAGTTCAACAAAAGAGAATAAAATTCCGTATTATAACCGAATTAGGAAGATACACCATTTTATCAATAAATTCAGAATCCAAAAATGCAACAACAAAAAAAAAATATATATATATATATATATATATATATATATATATATAACACGTAAGTAGTCGCAGGAAGGGATCACAACCGTGTTAAGGAAAGTGGGACTTGTGAGCTAATAAAGTTCTATCTTTTTTCTTTTTCATATTTCGTGGAGGAACGTTATTTATTCACACCAATTGTTATAACAAAGAAAGAAACGATAAATTAAAAAAATGAGAAAAAACAAGTGATGTGACAAAAAAAAAAAAAAATGTTGCGAGAGCAGAGCAGAAACAAGTAACTTTATTTTTAATGCATTATTGATTTTTTGACTACTTGCTAATTTTTGTTGGATTGGGAACTTAACGAAGTTAGCTAGTTGACTGTTCAGAGAGTTTTCTAAACAACGAAGAAAAAGTAAAAGTTGTGATTAGTTTTGTTCAGTGTAGCTTTTGAATTTCATTTTGTTATCTTTGGCCCAGCATTGCTTTTATAATTTGTTTGCATGCGGGGGAAGAATAATAATGATACCATTAATCAAGCAATTGAGCTAATGAGTTTTCACATGTCTCTCACTCTATATATATATTCAATTCTGAGCATCAACTGGAAGACTTTCTTGTACTAAACAAATTCCAAGGTTGCATCAAGCTAACTATCTAAATAGGTTGGTGTATGTTCTTCCATCTGCAACAGTGGTATTAGTGTTTCGTTTGGTTCCAATTTCGATTCGTTGTCGTTTTGAGGAACAGCTTGGACTCAAGTGGGTCAAACACTAGTACTACTTTGGCTGATTGCTGTTTAGTTCTAGAAAAAAATTCTTGTCATGCATGACGTTGAATTTATTATGACAGATATGACGGTTTTGATTAATTGAGTTAAACTTACTTTATTTAATTACCTATTGATGGAGGTTTTTCTGTTGATCCTTTTCTATTTTGGGCTGCTGGAACAAACACTCTAGTGTGAATCCGATTAGAGGTTGAGAACTTTATTTTTAGATTTTAGCATCATTTCTGCAAAGGGAGGCCTTGCAATTCGTCTTGCAGATAATAACATATATGCTGTTTATGTTGCTGCAAACTGCTGATACTGTTACTCTCTTTATATGTCTATTATTTTGGGGACAGAGGGGAGGGTATCTGAAGTTTATGAGCTATTGGAATCGGAATTAGGACTATAGCAATAGAGGCAAGTCTCTTGGTTGGTGATAAGTGGCATCAAACTTGTATTTTTGCAGAGAACTCTTCTTTTATCATTTGGCTGTTGCAAGAGATAAATGAAAATGGACATATACGAGCCATTTCAGCAAGTTGGCATGTGGGGTGACAGCTTTAAAGTTGATGGTGGCCTAAATTCAATTGCTTCCCCAATGTTAATGGTTGACACTACTGTGGAGAACAAGGTGAGAGAATATGATTTTAGTTTTTTGGTGGGTTAACTTCATTTTATGTGAAAACTAGACTAGAATTCTATAACAGTGTTTTGAATTTGAATTCTTCAGTCCGAATATATTCCTCAAGAATCAAGAGAGGTTTCTGGAGCCGATCAAGAGACCACAAATAAAGATGTTATTAAGGTGATGAGATTTCTTCAAGACATATCATATGCATAACCATTGAAATGTTTTCATATCTCTTGTTTGATTGTAAATTATTAGTAGTACTAACAAGTTTTGTCAGTGACTCTGAACATCTCTAAAACATGAATGTTTTTGTTGTCTACTTGTCTGTGTTGATAACCGATAATTATTAATGTGTAGATGAGAAGACGTCTAGCACAGAATAGAGAGGCTGCTCGGAAAAGTAGGCTAAGGAAAAAGGTAGGACAAATGAACTTATAAGAAGGTAGCCAGTATCTGTCTTCTGACTTGTACCTTTTTGTTATCTATCCAAAGGCGTATGTAAAACAATTGGAATCAAGCCGTACGAAGCTCCTGCAACTGGAGCTGGAAATTGGGAAAGCAAGAAAGCAGGTGAACCAAAACTGTAAAATCACCACCTTTTTTATTGTCAATTTGTTATTTGTATTCCCTCTTTTGTGATGTTTAAGTGTATACCCAAATATCTACTTCCAGAGTCTGTACATGGGGACTGCATTAGATGGCAGCTATATAGGATCAACATCAGAAACAATCAACCCAGGTTTGTGATTCATTTTGTAGATTTATTCTTTCTTAAAATGCGTTCTTATATTAATTTATGTACATTTTAGTTCTTCTCCCCGTGCATTTGAAGAACTTGAACAATTTTTCTTTTTTCTTTATGTTTTTAAATGTCTTAGTGCAAGATATTGTCAATATCCTCCCTCCCCTACAAGTCCTTTTGATTCATCTGCATATGCTGTCCCATTTTTCCCGTCAAGATAGACTAAAGGTGAAGGGTGAGTGTAATGCCCCTTCCATGGACTTCATTTGATACCCCCCTTTGCATAATGTACTTTCATTAATCCTTTTTTGTTTCGTTATGTTTCATCTTTTACAAGTGACAATTTCTTGATTGATATATATGTTCACATCTCTACGCCACAGATCGTTTACAACTTTGTTCCATCAACTGCTAAGTTAAAATCCATGCATCTGATATTGCAATATGCATTCTGATATATTCAACCAACCGCTCTTTTCCATACTTTAAATAGGAGAAAGTTCAGTGGCAAGCTTTTGGTTTCATGATACGAACAATTTTAATGACCCCATGTTATCATAATTATCGATGTTCGTTTAGATGTTAATTTTTTGTGCCACTCCAGTATTTTCTTCCCTTTTTGTATGCAGCATTGTGCTTATAGCTTGTTACATTCATCTTAATAGTCCTTCTGTTATATGAAACAGGGATTGTTGCTTTTGAAATTGAATATGGACAATGGGTTGAAGAGCAACAAAGGCGGAATGAAGAGCTGAGACATGCCTTTCAAACGCAAGCACCTGATGTTCAGCTCAATGTAGTGATTCAGAGTGTCTTAAACCATTACTCAAATCTCTTCAGAATGAAAGCAGATGCTGCAAAAGCTGATGTTCTTTATTTACTCTCTGGTGTGTGGAAAGCATCAGTGGAGCGCATCTTCCTTTGGATTGGAGGGTCCCGTCCATCACAGCTTCTAAACGTACATTCCACACACTATATCTCATTCTGATAACTGCTTACATTTTCTCTTCAGTGATTGTCAGAAATGAGAATTCTATTCTAAATCAATTTTCATTTTTCTCAAGTTGCTATCTATTTGAATGTCAATTAAGAAAATTTCATAACAAGAGTTCAGTCGGTATGTTTTTACCATAATGTTTAGAACAAAAATATATTATCTGTATAATGTTTTTTGTTGGTACTTTTCATGTTCATGGATTACAACTCAATAAAACCAATCACTTAAACCTTTTCTTACAGATCATCGTGCCACAACTTGAGCCTTTGACTGATCAACAAATTGTTGGTATTGAAAAACTCTGCCTATCATCTCAGCAAGCTGAAGATGCTCTTTCACAGGGATTGGAAAAACTTCAGCAGAGTTTGGTCCATGACATGGCAGTTGATCCATCCGGTGTAGGAAACTTTGGACTTCAGATGGCTCTTGCTATGGACAAATTTGAGGCACTAGAAGGTTTTGTAAACCAGGTAATTGCATGCCTTTTTTTCTAATTCTTTTTAAGATATTACAGACTAATATATCCTGATTTGATAGACCTACTAATTACAGATAAAACTAATATGCAGTGCTCTAAATATTTTCAGTATTGTTCTTTAACTAGAATTTTAGTTTTATTTCAGTAATCCATACATTAAAAATAGCATGTTACTGAGGTAAAACTCTAATTTTGATCAAAGAAAAACCAAAATCGTTTAAGAAATAGTATATAAAATTTGTTCATGAGAAATCCTGTAAATTATCAACCAGACAAAATCTGATTATCATCAGGATGCCTTTACACTCTTATTTAATATGGTACATTGAAAAATCTTACAACTTAAAAATTTACTAGTTCTTACCTATGAATGCAATATTTGCTTATTTGTAACACTATGGTGAACAAGTGAAATGCATTCTCTTCTCCACAGGCAGATCACCTTAGACAAGAAACTCTGCTTCACATGTCACGCATCCTCTCAACTCACCAAGCTGCTCGTGGCTTGCTGGCTCTTGGGGAATACTTTCACCGTCTTCGCACTCTTTGCTCTCTTTGGTCTTCTCGTCCATGTGAACTTGCCTAGCCTGCCTAACTTGGGCTCCTCAGTTCCACAAATCACCTAATTGCTCCTTAAAGGAAGAGACATGTACCTGCTTCTGCTTGAACTTCAACTTCAACCACAGAATATATGAATATGAATGTTAGTTAATTCCAGTTTACTACTACCATGAAGCAAATTATGTGATTTGCTGCTCTAGAGAATATGATTGTACATAAACAGTGTATCATATTAACTACTACATTATTGTGAAAAACTTTCTGCAGTCTTAAAAGTAAGTTTACTATTTTACTTACTTTGAGTTTATCACTTTTTTATTCTTACTGAAAAGAAAAAAATCATTTCAATTCTGTGGCTATACAAACATTATAAAATTTATAACTATATTGATTAATAAATTTATTAATTTTCATGTATCTATAAGTCCTATTATTTTTTATTACTGTTTATTTCACTATCACAATATATAAAAATTAAAACTTATTGATAAAAATTCTCAATCAGTAACACTATCTGGCACAGGAAAGATGAGATACCGTCCACAAGTTTCCCGGGGGGAAGATTCGCGGCTCTCATTCACGAAATAAACGAGGAAAGAAAATCATTATTTCCTCTTTACGAAAAACTTCAGCAAAAAAATAGCAAAAAACTGAAGATTCTGTGAGATTCATGGTGGTAGTTATCGTTGAGGGCCCCAGAACCTCTTCGTTCACGTCTTCCACAACCGACAAGAAAGTGTTTCGTACTTGCAAGTCGAATTGGCACCGAGTGAAGAGCTTCAAAGTTCAAAGGAAAACTATGAGCAATCTGAGAACCTTGTGTAGACCTCAGACGGTGTTCTCGTTCATTATTTGCAGACACCAATTTCGACCTAGGGTTTCGTTTTCAAACCCTAATTGCAAGCCCCGTTTGCTGTCGCCGTTTCTGTACTCTACAATCGGTTCTTGGGGTTCGAAATGGTTTCGCGTGAATCAGAGGAGAACCGTGGCTAAGGCATCGAATTGGGCTGAACAAAAATCCCCTTATGAAACTCTCGGTAATTTTTACGTTCAAGTTTGTTGACAACTCGCGTTACTGAGAAACTGGGGAAAAGACAACCGCCTTTAAGGTAAAAAGAAAAAAATAAAAAATAAAAAAAGGAATCTTAGAGAAGAAATGATGGGTAAAGCTGAATTTTAAAATTGCTTGAGCCCTGATTAAATAAAATAACATGTTGCAGAAGAAAATAAGAAGATAAAATTATTTAAACTTCTCCCACAAACTGAACTTATTTCTTCTGCTATAAGTGTTTAGGGAGAATCTAAGCTCTAGGAGTGGAAACGAATGTCTTTTTCTGTAGGAAGAGAATCGAGATGGAAAATTCCTGTGGATACTTGTTTGATAGTTCCTTCTCCAATTGTCTGTGCTGACAACAGAATTGGAAGGAGATACTGATGAGGAGCAGATAAAAAATGCTTACAGACGCTTGGCAAAATTTTATCATCCAGATGGTGCGTATCTTCACCTTACCTACTTGCTTTCTTGAAGTGTCACTTAAACTCTTGTCATTTGCTGGTTGTGGTGGCGTGAGCTATATCAAGCAGCAATATACTATTATGTTCATTCAAGATGAAGCCAGGCAATAGCAACTACTTATCTGTTATGATTTTTAGTGTTTACATCTTGTTTAAATGCTAGTCTCCTGGACGTGGGAGACATTTTGTTTTTCTTTACAATAATGTTCCTATGAAGCAGTTATGGCTAGTGAGCGTTTCTTCAACTCTGTGCCATACAACTTAGTTGTGAAACAGATCTTCTGTGCTGGTATTGTTTATAAAAGATGAATATAACCTCTAAAACATAATGACTCTCTTTACTTTACTCTTCAAGTCTATGATGGCAGAGGAAACCTTGAAGAAGGTGAAACAGCAGAAGCTAGATTCATCAAGATTCAAGCAGCTTATGAATTGCTTATAGATGGGGATAGGCGAAGAGAGTATGATTTCGATAACCGGGTCAACCCTATGAAGGTAATATTTGTGCTATTTGATTATCAGTTGTTGACTACTGGCGACATTTCCTTTAGTATTCTAATTTACACTTATTTGTACTTTTGAACGAGTATGGATCTTGTTGTATGGGATTTTAAGTGGATCATGGTATGCTGTTGTTCCTCGTATTAAGCGTGAACAAATTCTTTTGAGCAATAGTGTTGAAGCATTACTTTTAATTTCTTCTATTTTTAAGGTGGTTTGTAAAACTAATATGTACTATATAAACAGAAAGCATAATGTTAATTAAGATGCGTCTTCCATATGAACTGATCCGCAACCATTATGTTAAGATGTTAATTGATATCAATGAACAGTCAAAGACTTCATTTTGTAATCCTATAGGAAGGAAAGAAATACTACGATTTTCTATCCATTGTATAAGCATATCAAACTGCAGAACTTCATCAAATAACTACTGTCTCATCTTTGACTAGAGAATATATTTTGCCTGTTCTGCTTTTCTTGTCAGTGCAATAGCCTAAAATAGAAGAGCGTCTGTCTCTCTATGCACTGTTTTTGCCGACTTTTAAAATGAGTAATGATGGATGTATTAACCATTGTGCTGCTTTGTTTCCTTCAGGCATCTCAGGCATGGGTGGAATGGCTTATTAAAAAGCGAAAAGCTTTCGATCAGCGGGGTGATATGGCAATTGCTGCTTGGGCTGAACAGCAACAGCGCGAGTTAAATCTTCGTGTGCGTCAACTTTCTCGTTCAAAGGTATTGCGGTATGCTTGAAAATGTTGCCAGCTTATATAGGGTTGAATGGTTGTGTCAAGAAGACTAGGTCATAAGTAATGTCAAATTTTCTTTCAACCATGATCAACGTGGCAACCTGGTTTTCTTACTGGAGTAAGTCTTTATCACTTCCATGTTTCAGTGAACTTAAAATTATACATCATCCTAGCTTCAATAACATGACAGAGGCTTTTCTCCCGAGAATGGGTGTTGGAAAGAATCAGTATCACATATTTCATCTTTCCTCTGAGCAATGTTCCAATTTTTTCCATGCATTTGATTGGAATTATTTTACAAAATCTCAGATTGATCCAGATGAAGCAAGGAGGATTCTGGCGAGAGAAAAGAAGGCTTCGGCTGAATATTACTCGAATACCCTTAAAAGACACACACTTGTACTGAAGAAAAGAGATTTGATGCGAAGAAAGGCGGAGGAAGAAAAGAAGACTATCAGCCGGCTCTTGGCAGCAGAAGGTCTTGAACTTGATGATTCAGATGGTGATGAGTCACGCTAGGGACTTCATTCCACAAACCAATACCTAATATTTGATTCAATACCATGATGTCTCCCTCAGCGAATTTAGTTATTTTTTAATTATTATTCACAAAAGATATATGTACATATATTTTATTATTTTTAAAGACACATGAGAAGTTGGTTATATCATTATATAAAGGAGAATATAGTTCATCTATGTTTACAGAAGTGAGTTAGCATTTTTTGTGAATTGTTTAATATATTTTAAAAAATTCTATGCAGAAACTTTCTAAAAGATTAATTCTTTCTTATTTAAGAATCAAAATCCGCCATTTAATTCCAAATGGAAAAGAACTTACACAGACAAGTAGTGTCTACTCGTATCATGTATTCTGTGACTGCATATTCCAATGACCAACACAGATAAAAGTTTCTAGTGATTTCAAACTAGAAATATTTTTTTTTGTTAAATACACTTTTGCGCTTTTGTGTTCATAACAAGGGTTTATACGTCATGGTAAGTTCCACATATGTTAGACCATGCATGATCCTTGTGCTGTTTCTTAATAGTAGCTGTTCATCTTAATTCTTAAACTAATAATAGCGCTAAAACCAAAAGCTGTACCAGAGAAGCACAATACGCATCTTTACTTTGAATATTATTGATTAATATGACAAAAGGGGTAGCCCAATTAACAATAAGAATAACAAGTAAAATACAAAATTTTTAAATAGCTGAAGTATGTCAAAAGTATGGTTAGGAACTGTCTCGTCTTCTGCTACATTTCTTTTCTTCTTTAGCCCTGCACTGTATCCATACTGTCTAATTCTCCTCCTTTTTATTCATGTAGATGACTTATTGATGAAATGATTAGTGTCCGGAACTGCAACGAGGATAAGCCAAGGTAATTCCCTAGACGCATCTACCGGAATGCTCAATGTAAATGGCATGTTTCTCCGAAAGAAGTTTAATCAGGGGATTCTCTACATTATCAGACCGATTCTTATCACGCTGAACGGTAACCTTCTCAGCACTAGTGACAACCACCACTTGCTCCTTGCGAGATGAGAGTTCATTTGCAACTACTGCATCCATCTTGTACTTTTCAAGAGCTGCACCAGCCTTATTTAGAAGAATGTTTGAATCTGTCTCTAACTGTCAGATAAGGAGGAAAGGTAAATCTTAGTCAACCAGGTTGCTATTTCTCATTACGTTATTTCATTCTATGTTTGGACATCTGTTAACAAGAAACAGCAGAATAACCTCACTAACTTGAGTACCTGATCAATATACTATCAAGAGGTATTTTGATACTCTCAAAAGGAATGCCATCTATTGCAGATCTTCAACAGTTTATTTTTATTTCTACAAATTCTTAGAGAAAATCATAGACAATGAAGTTCCTGTATAAAATTAGTATTAATTATGTTATTGCACTTTCTATAACTTTGGGAAGGACAGTCTTTGATATGCAAGGTATCATCACGTGCAGAGTTGGACTAAATTCACTTGTACCCACGTTTTCGTGCAAAACTGTCAACTTCCCATATCAAGACATCTTTGTTACATTAGTGATTGCAATTAGTATTTGTCAAAACGGTCTGGGTCCATATAGATTTTTTTATTTTTGTTACTGTTTTGCTAATCATTGCATAAGGAATAAAAGATGGAAAGTTCCAAGTCAAAAGCAAAGCTTTTCTAGTTTACAATGTGTATTAGATGATGTACTTTGTACTTGAAACTTCTCATTTCTTGATTCCTTGATCATTGAGGGAAATGATTAGCAAAACTGTTTTTCAAAAGAAAAAAAAAAAGAAAGGGTTTTATTCTTATAATTTTTTCCAAATACCATATCAATACCTTGAAAGATATGCAGAAAGCCAGAGGAGCCCAATCTTTCCTGAGCATTGACAACATTTTTGGCACCTGAATTAGTTTCACATCCAAGAGGTGGGATCCTGACTGAATTTTGTGCTCTACCTGCAGGATTAATATATATCAAGATAACATTATAAAGCAAAATAAATCTTTTCCATGGAAATGCTATAACTCCAACCTAGTATTTATAGTGCAACTTTTATGTTAATAATCAACTACGCTAAACTATTTTTTATTTTTCTACAAATGTGTATCTTTCCATTTTAAAATCTCTCAGCTGTAATTTATCTAATGCTACAGGAGTTTTAAAGTTCCACACACTTTTGGCACATGTGAAAAAACGTGGTAGCATCTAGAAAATGATTCCAGGTCTTGGGCTTTACGAGCTATTGCCTTAAAAGTTTTACTACTATTGAAGAAAATGCCACCACAAACTCCATGTCTTACTACTAAAGCAAGACTAGGAAGTACGTGACATTCCTTAAGTTTACACACGAAGCTACAGGAAAATTCTCTTAATAATTTCTCCAGCACTAATGTTATATTTGATTCAAGCATCAATGGAAATCTCTTCATAGGATAAATTTTTGTCCTTAACCAACTACACGATCATATAGGTTAAAGTCAATACTGCATTAATACTTTCACGTAATGAATAACTAACATAGCATATTTATACCATTTCCTTCCAAGGAACATAATAGTCAGACACTGCAGCAGCAAGATAGAACATCGCACGTGGGCCAATACACCTCATTGACATTGCAATAATCTGTAACATCTGCAAAAACATAAGGCAATTAACAATGACAAATCAGCACTGACAAATCTACTTATTAAACACCTACTAAAAGCTATAATAAAACAAGTGGCTCTATATCTTGCAATCAGACTAACACATGATAATCAGAAGACAATAATCATATCCACTTCCACGGTCAATTGTCGGTAAACACCTAGACTAACATAACGAGAACATATACAATATAGGAGATTTCAGCATTTGTTGCACCAAATCTAATGAGCACTTACAATGTACAAACATTGACTAGAGCTAACCTGGAGATACTCAAATATGGTGTTGAAAGGAAGTTTCAACAAGAGACCACCTGCCACTGCCTGCAGTAGAATGAAACCCCAATGAGTCTATAGCTATATCCAAATAATTTGAACAATGCACCATATATTAAAAAAGATGGCATGATATTACAGAAAAAATAAGATAAATGTAGTGCACAAAGTCCAATCTCCATATCATACATTGTGATGATCCACGACAGCCCTCTTCACTGCTTCGGAATAAGCCTCGCAAACTGAAGTATAGAACAGAATTTGTCAAAATCATGACGACTCTAGGAGTTTGAATAAAATATAAGTCCAAAAATAAAAAAAATAAAGTAGATTTGTTAATTAACAATGTCACAATAAAGCCAATGAAATATAATCTATGAGTAGACTTCATCTGATAAATAAAAGGAAAAGAGAATGATGCACGTTTTACAAGGTAATTAAATAGGTACATTTTTTCTAGCCTTCAATACCATAATAATTTAATCTTTTCTAATGGTGTGAGAAGAGAAGAAGGCAGAAACTCATAACCTTGAATGTTCGACTCATCGGTGGGCTTGAAGCATTCAAGTAAAGGATCATCAGGAAGGGATCTACAAAATGGCTGGAAACTTCTCCTGCGTAAATTATCTATCGTTGATCACCACATAAATAAAACATAAGACAAGGCTACATTGCAGGTCCAGAAACTCACTTTCGGTACAGAAAGATAACAGCATATCCAGCCTTCAGAAAATACCTACAACACAACCACCAACCTGTTCTTCTCAAGAGAATTAAAACAAAGATTTACACAACAAGAACAAGACTAGTGCAAACTGAACAATACTCTGTGGATGTGGCCCCTCTGTGACCTGAACTGAAATTGTCAACATAGCGAACACAACGTTGTTCCAACGGAGCAGTGGTCCCCCCAGAAGTCACACAAACAATTCTCCTTGCTTTCCCATTTGCCGGGGAACCAAAAACCCACCACACGTCATTTAAAGGAAGCTCACAAAAAAGTTGAATGTAGTAACAGACAACTCACTTGAAGGAGAAGAGTTCCGTTGAATGAACTGATCCAACTGTTGAGTTATTCCATCACTGTTCTGCAAAGGAGGAGCAGAATCAAAAAAGGCTTTCGCTTCTGCTTCAAGGGTCTCCCCTGGAACTTCTAATCCCTTTGCTGCATCCATCAAAATCAAAATTTCCTATATTCACAAGTCACTTATCAGAAACACTTGTCATCATAAATTGCACGCAAACCTATCCATGCAGGGATTATCATTTATCAAACATTCCCCAATTATCCAAAAATCTTAAACTGAGTAAAATCAAATAAGAAAACACAAGAATGAAACAGAAAACCCTAGTTGGGAAAAAAGGTGTGTGATTTTGATTGTGAATGAGGGAAAGGTTTGAAGTTGAGATAACTAACCAAGCAGATACGAGAAGAGAAGGATTAGCGATAGAGAGTGAAGGTGTAATGATGACAGAAGGTGGTGCATCTTATAGTTGTGGCATTTGCTTGGTGGGACTTTATTTTATTCCAGACACTAATTACAGATGACTATATTCGGTGCTTCCTAATGAAACCGAATTAATCACAAAAAGTGTTGTAATTAAAAGTGAATAAAATCAGTTGGATGAGAAAATGTATTTAATAATTTGATGTTGAGGTGATGAAATTATAGATTGATTTGTGGGCTAATATTTTTATTAGGTGGAACTACCCACGCAACTGGATCCAAATCAATTAATTCCTCTTATTTTTATTTTTATTTTTATTTTCTCACTTTATTCAAATTTAAAAAACAAGTGTGATTTATTAAAAATATATGTTCCTCAACGATGCATTTATAGTTTCAAAATTACCCATGTTGCAACTGTTGTGTTATATATATTTACGAAAATCAATTAATAACATTTGGCATTACCTTGTAATAATAAAAAAGAGAGAGAGAGAGAGAAAAATATTGATATCAAAAGTAATAATAAATAAATAACGTATAAAAGTATAAAATACTTGTATTTTGGAAAATCAAGGATTGTAAAGAAGCCCAATAAGAAAGGGGTGCTAAGAAGGCCCAAAAGGTAGGAATTATTGTCATGAGAAAAATAAAAATTGATCCAAAGGTAGCTCCGGATCGGGATTTTGAACCCGACGTGAATCGAACACGCAACCTTCTGATCTGGAGTCAGACGCGCTACCATTGCGCCACGGATCCGGATGTTAATTGTTTCGAATAGAAATATAATTATATTAGGATAAAGCATAACAGAAGAAAAGTAGTTTTCTTTCCCGCCAAACTCAACGAACTAATAGAGTATTCTCTCCTTTCTCTCTGGAGATAGAATCTTGAAGATTTTAGCGATGGCGGAAAGTTTGGAGCGCATTGACGTGAAGCTGTCTCCTGCGCCGGACCAAAGGATTCCGTTGATGAAATCAAGAAGAGGACGACGACGAGGGGACACGTGGGTGGTTTCAGTGTTCGTGATAATCCAAATCGGAGTTTTCATTGCAACCATGCTTGTCAACGATTGCTGGACCAATTCTCACGGAGATTGCCTCATCCAAACCCTTGGAAGGTTCTCCTTCCAGCCGCTCCCCGAAAATCCACTCCTAGGTCCTTCTCAGTCCAAGTCAGTCTCTACTATTCCATGTCTTCATTAAACGAACTTACTCATTAGGTTTCACTATCACCAACTATATTAATTATTATTGTATATTTAGTTTCGAAGCCTGATTGATCCAATTTGAGGATCTCGTTTGCGAAATAAATGTTGACCTATAGGAATTGAATGGAAAATAGTGTGTAGTTTGAAGGATGCGTAATGTGGTGCTGTGACAGGTTAGATGAAATGGGAGCTCTTCGATGGAGCCTTTTGATAGAGCAGCACCAAACTTGGCGTCTTTTAACATTTCCATTTTTACATGGTGGACTCTTCCACCTGCTTCTCAATCTCTGCAGTGTCGTCTACGTGGGAGTTCGCCTAGAGCGCGAATTTGGACCCAGTAATTCTGTTTCTATTTTATGTCTTCCGTCACATTTCTATTTCACCTATCTATTTTTCCTGAATGTTTCAAAAATTGGTTCGCCGTCACAATTTTATTTAGTATCAGATTTGCAGTGTCTGGGATCACAACACGACTAAATTGCTATATTTATCTGTAATTTCCTGAAATAACAAAGAAAATAGTGAAACTATGACCTTGACTTCCATCAAACATACACTTTCAACTAATCGTAGATTAAAATGTACCTAAGATGAATCATTTTATAATAATTATTTAAAAAATCATTTGAAAGTTTTTTAGTTGGTCATGTGAAATCTTAACGCTCAGGGTGTAAGAAATTGAACTCAAATTGTAGTTCCTAATCCTTATAATTTTCTTAGCTTCTAGTTTTAACTCTTATGTTTTTTACAAGTTTAGGTGTAATTCTTATGTTTTAAAAGTTTAGGTGTAATTCTTATATTTTAAAAGTTTATTTTTACTTCTAAAATTTTATAATATTAATCCTAATCATCACGTTCATGTTTTGAATTTAGTCCCTAGAATCAATTCTTAATTTATAGTTTTGAAACTAGAGAGACTCAAAACCAAACGTTTAAACTGTGTTGAGTAAAACCCAAATTAAGAACAATTACAGAAATTAAAATATGTTTTGAAATAACGATTTTGAGATGGTTTCTTGATGTTCTAATTTATGAAGTTTCCTTTTGATTGCAGTAAGGATTGGTACAATCTATGCATTGTCTGCTTTTGTGGGAGCCTTGGTGGCTTCTCTTTTTCTCCAAAACACCCCCGCCGTTGGCGCTTCTGGTGCTTTATATGGATTACTTGGAACATTGCTCTCCGAGCTTGTTTGGAACTGGAAATTTCATACCAATAAGGCCTGTCTTCTTCCCCTTCGTTGTATTTTTTTTCACTGTTCTGCTTGAGTATTAATCTATTTTATTATGTGGGTACAGATTTCAGCAATAGCAACATTAGTCTTTGTCTTTCTGTGCAACTTTGTCCTTGGTTTTCTGCCATATGTAGACAATTTTGCAAGCATTGGAGGTTTTATGTCAGGATTCCTTCTGGGATCTGTATTTTTACTCAGCCCTCAACTCCAATCAGTAGCTCCAAATAAAGGAGGTCTTATTGAGTATGGTGTCAAAAGTTACATCAAGTTAAAGTTGAAGCAAAAGCTGGACAGACCAGTTCTCAGGATTGTTTCTCTTATCCTCTTCGGCCTATTGTATGTTGTTTTTTCCTCTTGTTTTTTAATTATTTATCGTTAGGTTTTTATTTTGCATGGCTAGCTGTCTTCTATAACTCGTGTTTTATGGCATGCGTCAAATCTGTGATGAGAAGCTTCTTTCTATTCGCAGATTGGCTGGTTGTTTAGTGGCAGTTCTTCATGGAATCAACATCAACAGTTATTGCACATGGTGTCCATATGTCGACTGTATCCCTTTTACAAGCTGGCACTGCAAAGACACAGAAGCCTCTTGTGAGGTACTATTTACAACTTACTTCTGTCATTTCCCAAATTTAAAATTCCGAATAAAATATTTTTTACCAAGATGAATTCTCTCTCACAACTTCGTATCAACAATATACCAAGTCCAAGACGAATTCTTATATACTGAATTCTAAGATAATTTTTCCATTATTTACCAAATTCTTATGAATAGAAGTCAATTGTTAATTTATTAACATTATTGCTAGTTGATCACATACTGCAAAAATGATATATAGAATTAAACCAAAAGGGAATGCCAACTCACTAACACAGACGCGCTGAGTCGAACTTTTTGCAATGAACTAGCTATTTATTATTTACCAGTGCCCCCAATATTTATTAAATAGGTAGGTACATGATGCCGTTATTTCCTGAAAAGTAAGGCTTTATGCTAATGCTGGCTATCGGCTATTTAACTGCAGACAATGGTGAGCAATGCTCAGCTGACAATGACCTGTATCGGGAATGGCAACTTCAGGGTCTTTCCTTTTACCAACATTTCTCGGGCAAGGATGAATGATTTGTGCAATCTGATATGCTGACGGGACTAGTTGTTTCAAAGATTCTTTTAGCCCCAAATTACCAGGAAATTCTGGACAGCTGATATAGCTTATATCTTACCAAATTGTCGTATCCTTTTTTCTGAGTGTAAAAAGAAATAGGAGTATAATCAGAAGCCCTAGGTGTTTGATTTGACAAAAATTGATGCAACAGTTTGTGAAGCATGTCTTTGGTTGTAAGTACTGTAATAACACCTGAGTGTAAACATTTCTAGTCCCTGGGCAAGATGAATCCTTTTCATGCTGGTAGAAAATTGAAGTTGTGGGAAAAAAAAAATCATTTCTTGATTGTTGTTTTTAATAATGAGATAAAGAAACGTTTCACAAAGGATGATTTTTCTCCCCTTTCCTGTTATTGGCATGTAGTCATTTTCATCCTACTATATATTTTAAATCGGATTGACAGCTGTGACACTTGGAACCACTTTTGCAGTCCCTGAATTTCGGCTTGATCTGTTGTATATGTCTCTTGTATCTAACTTCTGCCGTAATAGCATAATTACATTGGGGGTGCATCTGTGACCTGTGTGTGAGCTGGTACTGACTATGCACCCGCCGCCGCCGTCGCCGCATTTACAGTTAAAGGCCATCAAGCCAAGGTCTATAAAATGAGTGCACTGAGACTTAACAATCCACAGTGTGGGCCTATGCCTACCCAATTTGCATTGGGTTCAAAGTTTCTGAGCATTCAAATGCCAAATCCTTCTGAGCAAATTGTAGATCAATGGATTAGCCTTGTACATCGTAATCATTGTCAAACCAACCAAGCAGATGAATCAACTTAAGATAGACGTGGCAGGAAATGTGAGAAAGATTACAAGCTGCCACTTTCTTTTTATTTTTAATTTTGGGGTACTTCTGAATTTTGAAATATAAAACAAAACAGTGGCAGGGCTCCACTTTAAAAAAATAAATTTGGAAATTCTGAAATATTCGAGTCTTTTTCATTGGTCCGTGGTACTGTCGGCTAGGTAAATATACATTAATATCCCCACAAATAATTGGACTGTGCATTTATATATGTGGTCGATACTTGAACTGTGCATTATATGGTGGTAGCAGTCCTTCCTAGCCCACTCAATACCCACTTTTTATCTTATGCACTGAACCAGCTGGTTGGTTTAGTTGCTCCTTCCTTTCAGTTGATCCGGTAAATTCCAAGTGGAAAATCCAAACAAGTTTGTTTGACGGGTCTAAACTCTAAACAAAACTAACCTGCCAGTAATCTAAAACCACTTGTCCCCAAGCCATACCTGGAAGAAAGGTCAATATTTTAGGCTCGAAAAAATGCGATATTGGAAGCTTGATTGTCCAGGAATGGTTGGGTCCCTCCTTGTCAAGATCAAGTGCAGTGTGATCTATCCAAGTTGACCCTCCTGCTAAGTGCTAACTGAAGCATGCACCTCCACAAGTCACAAGCACCATTCGGTGACAACCATTAGTTTTGGCGACATGTGGCATCTTCTCATCACTGTTTCACACACAATATATTATATTATGAGGTAAAGGAAGTTGAAGGTAGTAAAATCTAATCACATTGCTATCAGAATCACAATCATGAAAAAGGGCAGTTCCACATAAAAAGGCTCCCTATGTTGCCGCATTTACAGAGCCTATCAGCACTACCATTCCTTGCATTACCATAAATGCCTTGTTGATGGTTTTAAGCTTTTTCCCAAAATCCAAATAATTATAATTTATAGAACCCAACCGTCCCCTTTTTTAGGGATGGAAAAGATAACAATAGTGGGAATCCTCAAGTGGGTGAGCATCTACTACCCCTGACCCTGTTTAACGAAAAAGAAAAAGAAACCCTCCTTTCACAACCTTTCACCATCAATGTTAGTCAAACATGGCAATATATATCATCATAGGACCCTAACCTATGCTATACACATACACTAAAATATTTTATCATTGGGTCCTTTCTTCTCATATAATAATTTCAAACCCTTTTACTTGTTTCTTAACAAGTAATATGCCAATTCGTTGACCCTTAACGAGTCCATTCCCTTTTGCTTCTCTTGTGTCTCACACGCGTTCTCAAGCACACAGGCAAAACTTGTCCCACATACACCAAGTGACCCATAGATATCAACTAGATGCTACTTCAAAGGTGTGGAAATGATGAATTTTACGTATATGCTTAGGAACCCATGAGAGGTAGATCATAGTGGACGTGTTCCCGCACAGTTATCCCTCTCTTTAAACTTCTCTAATCTCGATGCCTCCCACTCTCTCTTTCATAAGTATTCAACTAATCAACACACAAACATATTGGACCCAAACAAATTACTCTCACTACATCATCGATTGTGTTTAACAATAATCAATAAAGTAGATCATAACTTTCATTGCATATCAACCATCTCTCACTACATGCTGAACTTTACTTCCTCAAACATGTTCTTGTCATGCTAGTTCATAAAATTTAGAAAATTTAAATAAATCTTCAATCATTTTATTAAGAGGGTTAACAATTTAAACTTTTGTGAAGTAAATTTATTTATTTATAATAAAGATATTAGATGGCCCAGAGGAAAATAAATCTTTAACTTTAGAAGGTTGACAATATAATTATAACCCAGTTGTTTAGTTTATGGGTCCCACCTATCCCATAATGCTAGCTACGTATTACTCTTTTACCTTACCTTTAGAATACTTTTTCCCTTCTCTCAAACGGGATTAAGAATAAGTTTCTTATGTTTATGATATTAAGTTAGTAGTGGGAGAACCCCTTCCTCATAAAAATACAAAACTACCCTTTATGAATTCTGATTATTTAATTGAAAATTAAAAGTTTAAATAATTTCATTTAGTTTGCCAATTTAATAGCTATATTAAAGTGAGTCATGTGATGAATAAATGTTCAAAGTACATTTGGAGCCACTTGTGACCAGGACTTCGAAAATTCGAATCTTGTTCCAAGTACTATTGTCAAAACTTAATCATGCTCCATAACAGATTTCTTTTTTCTTTTTTTTCTTTCTTTTTAAATGAATCATATGCATCAATTCAGCTGAAAGATTGCTTCAAAAAAAATTCAACTCAAAATTTGGTAAACTAGTTAAGTATTTATTTCTTTATTTTGCAAGGCATATATATTGTAAACAAGTTAAACCTACTTAAATATTCCAAATTTTAGTTAATTAGTTTCTTAAATAAGGTTGGTTAGGTTAAAAATGACTAAGACCTTAATTTTTTATATTTAACAAATTAAATAATATTTTAAAATAGGTTATTTTATATATTGTATGTAAAAACAAAACAAAAATTTTTGACCCATGCGTGATATTTTATATTGTCCTATGTTTAAAACATGCAAAGAGTTCTTCAATATCTATAATATTAATATATCATAAAAAGACCTGTATATATCACACATTAAAAAGTAAAAAACTTCATAATTCTTACAAAATATATCTACTATTGTATTTTTTTTTCATCTTAAAACGTAAAATTGTCATTATCAATCCCTCTATTTGATATTTGATGTATACTCGATTTTGAAATTTGAATTTAGTTTCATTTGAAATATAAATATAAATTATTATCTATCTTAATTTTTAAATGATATGATACTTATTATTTAAATATAGAATCAAAACTTTAATTTCAGGTTTTACACTATGATAAAACATGTCTTTAACTATCAGCTTAGACATATACTGGTTTAAAAAAATCTAATTTATATATATATATATATATATATATATATGATAGATAGATAGATAGATATATGCCAGACACATAAATTAGAGATATAATACAAATGCAAGAGATAGTTATACAAGTATATATCTCTGTAATATCTAGAATATTTTCAATTATCCGAGAAATCTGAAACATTATATAAATTTTAAAAAATATTATTTAATTTTTTAATAATTATGATTAAATTGTTTTATAAAAAGTTATGTATTTCCCTTTTATTTTTTATTATTTCACACGGATCTTAATCATTGATTTTAGGAGGTCAAATAATATATTATTAATAAATAATAAATAAATATAAAAGGATAAAAAAAAAGAATGAGAGAATAAAATTATAAATTTATAAATAAATATATTAAATGATCATTAAGTTTAAGGGGACAAAATTATAAATTATATGAAAATTAAGAATAATGAGAAGATAAAATTATAAATATACAAGTAAATATATTAAATGATAATTAAATTTAGGAATTAAAATTATAAATTATATAAGAATTATAAAATTTTGAGGAGTCACGCTCAACTTGATTTCACGTATTAACTTAAAAATAGAAGAATGGTGTAAAAGTTTTTTTTTTAATCTTTGTCTGCTAAGAAGTAACTGAACCTTTTTGAGTTTTGCATATGAATAAATGGGTTTACGTGAAAGTTAATTAAGAATGGTGGAGTCTTTATAAGTACATGATTGGGCATAATACATTATGTTGTGTATAGAGCCTAATAATACTTTCTTCAAGGAACGTAGTAATGACAGTGGCGATGATGCTTTCCTGCTGCTGCAAATGGAGGTGTCAAGCTCCTATTATCAGTTCCCTACTCAATCTATTTTCCCCCTCACGTAATAATTTCGGCTTCTATTTTCGCTTTCCACAGACCCAAACAAAAATAAGCAGAAATCATTAACAATCATGAAAACAACTTCAACTCAGTTTTAGCTGTGATTCAATTTCATTTCCAAACCTTATAACTCTGCAATCTTATCATTTTTGCTCTATGTTAACCATTCAATCATTTTTATTTTTTTTGTAATAAATTTGATTTTAAAAATTCTTTCAATGTCCATTCTACTCCTTACTTTTTTGAAAATAAAACAAAATATAAAACAAATTTTCTCTACAACCTTTTAAACGGTTTGCACAATGTATATATTTTTAAGAAAAATGATACTTTGACAACCCAATTTTATACAACTTTAACAAACAATCCACTTTTAATATTATAATAATAATTTTAACTTGTTTTCATTTTTATTTAATCTCTTTCATGATTATTGATTATTATATTAATAAAATGAGTTATTTTTTTGAGTTGTTTGTTGTTAAGAGTGTCAAAATATCATGACCTTTTTTTTAAACTCTACAATAAACCACTTAAAACCAAACGATACAATATAATTTATAATATAATAATTTTGAAAAATTATTTAAATTTAAAATATAATTTAATTATTTGTTAAGCTCCTATGCTTGCATACTTTTTATTGCTCAGTCCCTAATTTAAAAATTACTCATTTTAGTTCACGAAAATTTTTAATCTATTTTAGTTTTTCTCATTCAAAATTGTATGGAGTAATGAAGATAAAAATGAGTTAAAATATATTTACATCGAAAAATTTATGGGTGCAGATACTAAAACATAAAAACTATATACATGTATAAAGATTAAATAAATAATTAAACTTTTAATATATATATATATATATATATATATATATATATATATATATAACTCGCTATTTTCATGATTTGCCTTAACTTATTTTTAAATTCAATAGTGGATTTGAGAGAGAGAAAAAATTAAAGTTATTTAAATTGAAAAAAAAAAGGTAAAAAATTAAAAAATTGTTGAAGGTAAAATTGAATTAATTAATTAAGATATTATTTTATTGATTTTAAATAAATTTATTTATAATTTGTATATGTTATATTTAATTTTTTATTATTATAATAATTAAAAAATAACATTTAGAAAAATTAAAATATAATCGATTATATATATGGATTTTTTTTTAAAACTTGGATTAAAATCTTTTAAAATTTAACCTATAACTGAACTCATTTATATCCTAAACACTATTTAATCCGAAATCTCATCACATTAAGAACAATATTCCCTGCGAAAACAAAAGAAAAAAATTAGTGAATAATTTACGCAAAGTGGAGTTACATTAATGAACAGACTCTCTATGAAGTTGAAAGTGATGCAGAAGCAGAAATTTGGTAGCATTTTAGGGTTGGTTTGCTATTCCTTTACATTTGTCGCAAAGGAAAGTGAGCTTTTGAAGAAATTCTCTCGTCAGAAAGAATTGAAGATAAAGAAGAATGCAAAAATGGGTGAGTGGTCCCCTCCAAACCCAATTAAATTCAGAATTAATATGATAACCAAACATCCTATTTGGTAATTAAAAATTATTTTTTTATGACTGGGTTTGATTTTTTTTACTGATAATAAAATATTGAATTGGATGAGTTAATTTAAAAAAAAAAAAAAAGTATTAATGTTGTCTGGTTTGTGAAATTTGGGGAGTGAAATTTGCAGGTAAACAATGATTGATGTGTATGATTTTGGATTGTGTGGAGGGTGGAGCATGGAGTTGTGTCGATCTGAGAAAAGCATTAAGGGCCAAGGGGAAATGAAATATTCCTCTACCGAGACTTTGTAGGTCAAAATGATGATGAGGATGAATGAGATTTCCACACCCAAATCCATCCCTCCAATATGTTTACTTTTGAGTCAATGAAGGGACCCACATCCACATGAGCATTGACAACAGATTTTGCAATCCTTCAACCATGGGGCATTTAAAGCAATTCCAATAAGCAGTACCCTTTGTTCCTTTTGAGCCATTTTCATTGATTCCCACATGGATCATTTGAGGAAATGGAAGGTTTTCCATTGAGGAAGAAACAAGGCCTTCCCCACCACAGGATCCTATATCCACAACTACTCCTTTTGACTAGGCAGTGTTTGGATTCTCATCGCTTCTTTTGTTTGGCACGCAAGAATGGGAGCCTTCTTTAATTTTGGGTTTAGTATGAAAATGGAAGCCTTTAATACTCCACCCTTTTTATACTTCCTGCTTCTGCCTACACCTCTTATCCCACTACTCCCCAACACTTTTAATATAATATTCTTATCTACAAAACTCTCCTTCCTATTTTATGTTAATTAACAAAATGGACTTCATATCCTTTTAATCAATAAAACTAAATTTACTATTTCTTAAAATAAATATATAGTTATTTTTTTAATCATCATTAAATTTATCAACCAACTTTTAAATTCATAATATTTATTATATAACAAAAATATTTTCGACACATAATATATAATTAATCTATCTAATTATTTAATTACGATACGTATTAAATAACTATAATTTACTATTTAAAATAATATGATAAATGATCATATACTTTATTATTATTATTCTCATTTATTTTATATTATCATTAAGCATAAAAATGTTAAAATAGACTTAATACGATAAACATTTGAGAGACTTTAGAAATAAATCAGATCAACAAAATTATTATATAAATTGAATCACACTTATTTTGACTCAATCTATTTAGTCTATGACCTACAAGTTAGAGTTAGAGTTATGATCTCATTCATTTTATAGAAAAATATAATATAAAATATGTATGTATTATAAATTAAATTTCTAATAATCACTTATTCTAAGATATTAAGACTACTTACTATTTTTTATTAATAAATTATTAAAAAAAGTAAGTTTTTAATTCTTATTTGAGATTAAATAAATTCATGTTATATATATATATATATATATATATATATATATATATTAAAATAAAAGTTATTTTCATTAATATAATTTAAATTTTAAAAATATATTTTGTTTTTCTAATTTTATTAAATAAAATTTTTAATTGATTGATTTGATATAAATACATTAATATTTTGTTTAAGAACAATTTTAATTAGGTCAAAATTGTTAATCCATTAACCTAATATAAGATTAAATTGAATTAAAAAAATTTATTCATTTTAAAATATAGGTCTAGTTGGATTATTAAATTTTTTTACTATACCCACATGCCAGTCCAAATTAGATTAGGTCACCCGATTTGATATTTTTACTTAAGAATTTTGTTGCACATGAACATTTCTTTTTCTTTAACATTTAGTATAGTTCGATCAAATAAATCTTAAAATAACATTCATCTACACTAACTTTTATATATATATATATATATATATATATATATATATATATATATATATTTAAATATTAGTCATGTTTATTTGTTACAAATTTAATTATTCATGATTAATTATTAAAAAATGTGTTTATTTTAAGCTAAGTTACATATATGAAAAAAACAATCTAATTAAATAAAATATCAAAGGAGTATTGATAAAAACATTATTTCACTGGAAATCTAGATCATTGACTTAAAAAAAAGTACGAATACTTTGAATTAGAATGGATATTGTTGGCAACTAAGAATAATATCTTGATTCATTAAATACGAAAAGAAATGTGCAATAAGAAAAGAAAAAAATAACATTATGTAAGATGATTAAGAGAGTTTAAGAAAAACATTACATATTGTATAACGATTCTTTTGTACTTTTCATATCAGTTTTAAAACTACTATAGACAAAAAAATGTCATCAAAATCTCACATCAAAAGTTCTTACATAACTTTGTTTTCCATATACATTTTATCAAATGCCTTCTCCACATTAAAAGTTTTTCATTTTAAGCATAAAAGTAAATTCCACTTACGTAATTTTGTATTTATATATATACCTAAAAAGAGCACAAGGAAGAAAGAAAAAAACCAAAATAATTATAAATAAATAATTAAAAAAAATAAGATACAAATTTATATTCTTTATGGACTTTATATATCTACATAATAAGTTTTTTTTTTTTCATTTCTGCATCTTTACCCCTTAGTAAAGACTTTACATGTTTACATAATAATTTTTTTTTTTAATATCGGTTAAAACTTGAAAACTATCCTAAAAAGTCAATTATTACGTAGGTTCAAATTTTGTTAAAGAACCTACATCAATTAGATATACCGTCAAATTATAATATAAAATTGATATGTTTTACTGAACTAATGAAAGAATATATCAAATTTAAAAGTGTATATGTTTAATTGAATTTAATAAAACAATATATTTTTAATAATATAATAAATATATAGGTACATTATTGATAACAAATTTCTTAAAAAATAAGTACAAAAGTTATTGTTGTAATCGTGTTAGTTGTAGTGCTAGTTGCAAATATAAAATATGACAAGAAATAATAAATTTATATTCATAAGAAGAAAATAAAAACACATTAAAACAATTATAGTTTAAAATTAATGTGATTCATATATATATATATATATATATATATATATATATATATATATATATATATATATATATAAGTAAGAGTGGTTATTCTTTTTAAAAAATTTAAGAAAAAATTAATCTTTTAAAATTATTATCAAACCTAATTCAACTAAAAACCTAATTTATATTGATTTAATTGAATTTTGATTTGCTTTAAACAACGCATCAACTTTTGACCGATTCCAAATCAATTTGATATATCCCATCGAGTTTTGAGTTTTGAGAATGTAAATTTTAAATTAATATTTTCATTATTATTCCTAATAAACTAAATTTCATATTTTAAAATATTAATTTTTTCTATTAACAAATTATTATATTCACTAAATTACATTATTTATATTGATTTATTTTAAATCCAAATAACACATATAAATAATACTTTTTTAACAATCATTTCAAACAAACATGATAAAGTGTTAAATCAATACAAGACTCCGCTACAATTAAGCTGAGATTACTCGTTTACATAAATTTGACCTCACCACAAGGATCTGAAATATATAAAATTGTTATTATTTTTTTAATTGACTTTTTAATATTTTTATTAGAATGGTAATGTATACACAACTTCAAATAAACAAAAAACCATTAAATAATTATGGATATAATAATAAAATTACTTATATATTTTTCTCTTTCATGTGAGGATTGTCTTTAGGTTATTTATTCAAATTGGTTATGAAAAAATATTTTTCCTTTTATTAAATGTCATTGACAAAGGGATCTTCTAACTCTAAGCAATCAAAATCTTTTAACTCTTGTTTTGTTGTTCAAGGTCTCGCACAACTTCAGAATCTTAATTGTTTGACAACGTTATCTATAAGATATATTAAAGTGTTTTTTACACAAAGTATATAATTTATAAACTATATTGCTGCATACATTATGATAATAATGTTATAGTTTGATTCAACAAAGAATGCATTAAGTTGCCTATAAAATGGTGGACAGTGGATATTGACACATTGGAAATATTTTGATGATTTCTGAGAGAAAAAAAGAAGAAGAAGAGAGTTTCAATGCAAAAACACTTTTTTATGATGAAGTGTGCACTCATTTTATCCTGACATCATTATTTTTATAACAAAATTATCACAGTGATATTATTCGGATTCTAGTAGACATGTTTTAGACATTGTTAGGGATGATTTTGTTGATTTGAATGCCCATTTGCGAGTGCCAAATTCATTCATCTTCGTAAATCAAAAGGATCAATTAGCATTTAGGCTTTTAGAAATATGCGGTGATTTATGGCGCAATATAAAAATTTGCAAAATGATAAAAGTAAAAAAGGCGATTTATGTATGACGTGACAAGTAAAACCCAAAAATAAAATAAAAAACATTTTTCGATTAAGAAATTTAAGATGAGTGATAGATTGAAAGAAGTTGAAGTTAATTAGGTTAGTGATTTTTCCGACATGAATGTATAAGAAAATAAAAAGGGCACCCTTTGTGACCTCATCTTTTGGTAAGCCAACTTTGTGGTGACGGGTGGGCATATCGGTGTTCTTTCTTGTGCAATATCTTCTCTACCAATCTCCAATTCATTATTTACTTTCCAATGAAATCTTTGAAGACCAACATGCTTCTAAGATGTCCCATTCTCCGAAAACCCACGAGCACTCGTCTCAACCAAATTTAATAAGATTTTACATTACCCAATGCATAATTTAGATTGCTGGGGTAATGGTCCCCCATTCTTCCAAAAAATAAAAAATAAAAACTGTATGGCATTCATCTATAAATAGCAGTCATTGTATTTATATACGGATAAAAGAGAGAATCGCATACACTTTTGCCGATAGAATAAAAAGGAAAGAAAGCATTTGGTGCCGTTCAATTAGTGACTAACTACGATCAATCAATTAAAACCCATTCGGTATGATGCATATAATGGGACCCAGTTGCAATACTGAACAATGATGAAAGATGAAGTTATGCAAAGGCCTACTCAATCAATGGCATGTAAATGTATATGTATTATTTACTGGTAGTAGTTTGCTAATGGCTTCAATTCAAATGATGTACATAGTTGAGTTGAGATTTGGAATTAGTGCTCAGAATTGAATATAATACTGATGAATGCAGGGGATTGATTGAGAGGATGGTATGAGGAAGCATCATTACTTTTTGTCCAAAACCGAAGGTAATGAAATAGTTGTAGTAATAGTTATAATAAAAGTGGTAAAAGAGCACATATGGCCTCAAAAGACTGATTTATGTATGGTAGAAGATTACGAAACACATAAGTACAAGCAGCCTCATCATTCCACTCCACCAGTTCTTCTTTTTGGAAAAACAAAACTCCACATTTCAATAGAAAATAGTTGAACAAGAGGCACCACATTTCATAGCTCGAGGAAGAAATTGAGGAAAGAAGAAGCCAAACACCACTCAAAACAAAAACATGACCTGTATCAGAACGCAAAACTCGTGTTTATTATACAAACAACTCAGTCAATCCAGTCAAACCCTGCATCACTCCACCCACCAAAATCTCAACCTTCCTCACTGTTTACAAATAAAATATCAAAATCTCACTCACTTCCAACCTCTTTGCCATTATATTATATGTACAAGTAATTCAAACTGGTTTCAAGAAACACGTCAATTCACCCGACTCATCTAATCTTTCTTCATCTCCCTCATCCTTTTGGACTGATAAATTCTTCATGATTAATATTAATTTTCTTTATAAATTGAAAAGGTATTTATTTAGTTTTGATTTGATTTAGTTTAATTTAATTTTACCTGGTGTGTTGCTTTGTGTCCATTAAACGATGAAAATGGCATATTACCAATCATCCTTTCCCCTCTGTAGGAAACACCCATCATTGCTCCCAACAATCCTTTTCAACCTTAGAAACCTGAGCTTCCAAGATATTCCATTCTTCCATTCTTTTTACTTTTTGGGTCCTCTTTCCTTTCTTTTCTTTTTCCAATTCCTCTTATGCCTCTTCTTCCACTCTCTCTCAATTTAAATATCTACCCTTTCTCCACACCCACCTCTCCCCTTCACTCCCCCCTTCTACTTCTTATCTTTTTCCATTTATTGATAATTCGAAAGTAAAAATGGATCCCTCGTCCACCAACTCCGTGAACGGGTTCTACTCGTTCCTTACGCGAGGAATCGACGATCTAGAGCGAGTGTTCCTCACCACCAACTTCATGTCAATCCAATTCCTCCAAAGAACACTCTCTCTGCTTCGATCCTTCCACACCCAATTGACCCTCCTCGTCCAAAAGCTCCACCTCCCCGTCGGCGACAAGTGGCTAGACGAGTACATGGACGAAAGTTCCAAACTCTGGGAAGCATGTCACGTCATCAAGTCCGGCATTTCGGGCATCGAAAGCTACTACTCCGCCGCCCTCAACATCACCACCTCCCTCGATTCCCACCTCCACATCCCCCCGCAACTCTCTCGCCAGGTCAGCACCGCTTTTCAATTTTCAATTCATGTTAACTTGTTCGAGTGTTTTTCTTTGCAACATTTGGAAGACAATTTGAATCTTGCGTTAAAGGTGATTTTTTTTTTTTTTGTTGGAACAGGTTATGAGGGCGATATCGGGGTGCCGGAGAGAGGCGGTGGGGTTGGAGGAGGAGAATAGGGCGTTGATGGAGACGCGGATTCAGCCGCTGTCGCTGCGGTTCGAGGAGAGGGTGTCGATCGAGTCGAAGCTGAACGGGTTCAACGGGTTCAGAGGGGTGCTGTACGCAATGAGGAACGTGAGTTCGTTGCTGCTCATGATTCTGCTGTACGGCCTGGTGTACTGTTGGGGGGAGTCCTCGGATTTCGTGCTGGGTGGGTACGAGGGGTGTTTGTTTCTGGGATCGGCGTTCATGATGTCGACGGCGAGGTTGCAGCAGCGGGTGGCGGCGGAGATCGGGCACATGGGGGGCGCGCAGGGGATGCTGCTGCACGAGTTTCGGAGGTCGAAAGTGGCGATGGAGGAGCTGAGGGGAGAGTTGGAGAGGAGAGGGTCGCAGGGGGTGGAGTGGGAGAGTGAGGTTGCTATTAGGGAGAGAGTGGAGAATGTGAGAGCGTGTTTTGGGGTTCTCAGATCTGGGGCAGACAACATTGTTGCTCAGCTTGATGACTTCTTTGACGAGATTGTGGAAGGGAGGAAGAGGTTGTTGGACTTTTGCAGTCATAGGTAACTGAGTGAGTGAAACAAAATTGGAGGAGGAGGAGGATTCAGAAATTGAAATAGCCAGTAGGTATCTGCTTGCCTGCAAAGAAAAAACAAAAAACAGAAAAAAGGAAAATAGAAACAAAGACAAGGTAGAGGATAGTTGATGGGGTTGTTGTACTTGTTTTGTTAACCCTTTTTTTTTTATAATTTTATTATTATTATTATCACTTGGGGTCTTTCTTTTGTTTTTCACAGTTACCGTAGTTGAAAAATGGGGTGCGACTGCCAAGTCTTTTTCTTCTCCCGCAGAAGCATGTAAAGAAGGTTCTCTAGAATTGAATGTGGTTCTGGGTTTGAAAACAACATTCGCAAATGGGGTTAATCAATTAATGAAATCGCTGTCTTCTTCTTGCATTAGAACAAATAAGCTATAGCAAAATTCTTTGGGAAAGAAAGAAACTTCGATTCCTCCTCTAATTGCAGCCAGGGAGGAAAAAGACAAAGAATAGAAGGGGTAGCAAGAAAAAGTTAAAAAAGAAAAGAAAAGAGAAAGTTAGACACTGATGGCTGCACACAGTGACAGTGTGTATGTTATAATTTAAAAACGGTTTCCTTTGGCAGTGATTGATTATTAATATTATTGTTTTTTGCTCTCTTTATTAAGATTGATTGAATTTGGAAGAAAAGTTTTGGTTGGCACGGAAAATGACTAATCATTCGGTTATAGTCCTGAAAGAATAATGGAAAGGGAGGCTTAGGACTGTAGATAAAAGAAGCACTCTGAGATTCCTGGACTGCTTTAACGTCAAAGGCAGCTTCTTTTGCTCTCGGGAAGCTTTTGTCTGATTCGGTTCACTTTGAAAGCAACGGAGGTGATGATGATGAAAACTTCATCTCACCACATTCTCCCATTGCCTGACAACTCTTTCTCTCTCTAACAATTTTGTTCTGTTTCAAAAAATTTCCACCTCCCCTTTTTGGGGTTTTGGGATGTTTAATATGCTACAAAAATTTCAGCGGTCACTTTCTCACTTCTAACCGTATCTCATGCTTTTTGTCCCTTGCCGCAAATTCATGCCTTGCCCCCTCACAAGGGTTCCACATGAATGATGCTTTAAAACCAAACAATAAATAAAATAACATTTAAAGTGCACACACTAGACACAGACAAAAAAACAACAGAGTAATATATATCGGATATCATCCAGCATGCTTCATGCCAGAGGGGCAGATTTTGTGTTTAAAGCAGTGGTTAAACGTACAGTGGTTAATGTACAATCAATGACAGCTTCTCATTAAACTTTGGTGATGGAATATTAACATGGTGTTTCCATATTTTTTATCTATGTATGGCGATGTAACCCATGCAAAGGAATAAGCACCGAAAAACATGTTCAATGACAGACTGTAAAAAATAGTTTCCTGCCCACTTCAATCAACGTGCAATAGTAAGATTTCTCTATATGTATTTCCTTTTAAAGCAGTATCATGACATTAATGGAGTTTCTTCATAATCAAAAGGGTGGCCACAACAGTTGTTGCTGAAGAAAAGGTATCAACCTTGAACAATTTCTACAATCTCAAAGGTCATGGAGTGTTGTACCGGTGATGTATGACCTCTGCATGAGGACTTGACTTCCATTCGCATACGTAATTTACATAGCCTGGCTACTAATTTGATAGATATAATTTATAAAACTAGGGGAAAAAACTATGGGTTACTATGCAGAGAAAAATCAAAAGATGGTATAAGCCTAAGACGTGTCATAACGATGTAATACAGGTCTACAATTTCAAATCAAGTATCGAATCCTGGCATTGCAAACTGGGAACTGAATGTCTCAACCCGATTTCTGAGCTCAGAAATATCTTTATTATTCTCAAGACCTTTGAGAAAATCTTTGCATGATTTCCCATGTTCCCTTTGCACAATGCTGGTAATCTGAGCTGCCCTAAGAAGAAAATCAGCTATGGTCTCAAAATCTTCCTCTAAACAGCCTCTTGAAGTCATTGCAGGAGTACCTGAATAACGATGAAAGCCACGTGAGAACAAAAGCTAAAACATAATGGAGAAAACCCAAAAGTAATACGTTTTAGCATGAAATTGCATAGCAATGCAATTGGCTTGAAGTACACAAAATATATGACTTGATATATTCACTATCATTTAGCATCTCCCGCATAAGGAAATGGTTGACTGTAGCCATGATAAATACACATTTCTTTCTTTCCACCAATATTCTCTGGAAAATAGAATATTTGAAGAACTATTAACTAAATATGTGGAAGTAGGAGCTAACAGGAATTGATTACAATTTCGAGTGTTCTTGCTGCTTAAAACAATAATAAGCTGAGTAACAAGCACGGTCCAGGAACACTCAAAGGCTAAACCGAATGGTACGGAAAAAATGTGATATATGCAGTAATAGCAATGTATTAAACACTTAACTGGAGAAACAAAGTAGATTGAAACTATAGTGCTACACTAATACCATAACTTCATACGTAGGTACTGTAAGAGAAACACTCACCAATTCTCACTCCTCCAGGAGAAATTGAACCATAAATAGCACATTTATTGAGAGTGATGTGACACGCCTCGCAGACCTTTTCATAGTTTCTGTCTGTAATACACAATATAATTATATAAGAGTATATTCATGTCAAATTCTTAGATAAAACCTGTAAGAAAAGGGAAAAGGGCGTGTGCAAATCATGAGTAGTGCACGCAGAACATGCATAATGGAGTTTAAAAATTGAAATAGTGGTTAAAATAGATATATACATTCCATCTTTATTACTCGATTCAAAACTAATACCTATTTCTTCTTTCCTATTCTTTTCTTTTGCCCTGTCCCTTAATGGGGTGGATCCTCTCGTAGCAGATGGTTATCACCTATTTATTATTATTTGTCAAGAGATAAAAGATAGACACAAGATTTGAACATTACTTTGTGATTTTAAAACCTGAAATGATGCCAACCCATTCCTGTCCTCCACTCATCTCTTTTTTTATTACTCAAAATCTCGTAAACTAAACTTATTAGTTCATAGGAATTTCAACAGTACATACATCTAGTTAGAGGGGGACAAATTAAATGGAGATAAAAATTCCCAGAGCAAATATCTTGCATTTGCAAAGAAAACATCCCATTTAAATTCAAGCAACCATAATGATTTATTTAGACAACACAACTTCAAGTTAATATATTTAGAATCCAAGACAAAGTCTACAATTGCAAGGACAAACATGCACAGCAAATTTAGCTCTTCTAAAGTGAGTAAATGTGTAAAGTGCGAAGGTACAGGTATATCTAACATTAATTTAAAGTAATTTAAGTTTCGGGGATAATTCAAAACAATCAATAACAGGGGAAACACCTTTACTTTGTCTCTTTACTCATCTCTTCACTTTAGAGAGGTTAAATCTATGCATCATGCCTTCTGCTGACAAAATCTCTTGATCAGAAAGCCCAAAAGGAAAAAAATAATAAGGATGGCCTGATTATCAAAGCAGCTGACATGGCAAAACCATGCATGGTTTTTTATGCAACAATTTCAAACCTTGGCCAATTTAGAAATCTTAATCACAAATATCAGTATATTTTATATTCTTTCTTCAATGTAACCAGTTCCTAATCCATGTGCAACTTGCAAGCTGGCCCCTCTTCAAATATATTTTTCATTATAAGGTTTTAGCCCCATCATGTCCTTTGGCCTTAACTTGTCCACAAGTTTTAAATATTATGCTAATCTATCTTAGCCACTGATCTGACATCAACTAAGGAGATTAAATTAGGAAACACCTCCTAACTGAAGAAACTAAGTATCCAATCTATTATCCAAAATAGATATCAAGTTGATGTCCAGCTCAACAAGACACATATAGCAATCACAACAAAAGGTGGGCTGTGTTTAACTTTCGTTTCATGTTCAAAATTTTGAAAGAACCTTACGGATATGCACTAGTAAATTAACCCTCAAGAGAAGAGTGATACTGATATGTTTAAACCACATGGAAGCTAAATGAAAACAGGCCAACTAAAAAAAGCTTAAGTCATACTCATTTTCCCCATTTATTTTATAATGCCTACTTAGTGGGCTAACAACTGGTAGTTGTGTTGCACATATGTCTTTGGTTTCAATATAAAAGCGGTGAGGTCTAAAATTTTACATAAGCTCTGAGTCAATACATATTTCACAAAAATTGAAAATTATGCAGAGGTCTAATTAAACACTAAAAATAACTCAATTGAAAAAGAATAAAATATTTTATCATCAAAACATTGGATTTTATGACTTCTGTGATTTTTAACAATAATAATTTGAAATTAAGATTAACTTGCATTGAAATACATAACAAGTTCAATTAAAATGAGCATACAAATTTGATTTGATTTTGTTAGGGACAAAATCATAACATTTAAGCAACTTCTGTACTATCATCATTTCCCATCTCCAGACACCAGTACACCAAAACTCATTATCATTAACAAGAAAAAATCATTTCAAATTCAGTTTTATTAACATAAATTTGTTAAAAAAAAAAAAAGACATGTAGAAGAAAATTACCGATTAAACCAAGTGCTGTAAGATCCCATAGCAAAAGATGATTGTCAGTCCCACCAGTTACCAATCTGAAATTTCTTCTCAACAAGGCAGATGCTAATGCCTGCGCATTTCTCTTCACCTGCTGCATGTACGCTTTGTACTCTGGAGTTGCAACTTGTTTTAAGGCTATGGCCAGAGCAGCAATATGATTATTGTGGGGGCCTCCTTGTAATGATGGATACAAAGCAAAGTTTATTTTCTCTTCAAGATCATAATTATTATCCTCTCCATGATTAAGAGCAAAACCTTGCCTCCTCGGTTTTGCCCCCCTTCTATAAAAGATGATCCCTCCCCTTGGACCTCGGAGACTTTTGTGAGTAGTTGAGGTAACAATATCACAGTAATCAAATGGACTAGCTACTTCCTGTAAAACCCACCGTTAATATACTTAGATGAGCAAAATATTATCAAAATTAGAGACACAATTTAAATCGATGCATATTTCCAGGTCCACTCAAGCAATTTGACTTCCACCTAGAACATAAACAGAGGGGATTAATGAAAATAAAACAAAAACAACAGCCTTGTCTAACTGGTGAATGCTGGTTACATGACTCACACCACGCCAAACATGCTAAGGGTAAGGTTAATGTGATTAATGAAAATGAAAACTATTGTATAATTTCCAGTACTTCATAAAGGTAATTTCATCAAACTCCAAGCACAAAAATATTGAGGATGGGGAAAAAAGCAAAAAAAGAGGTAATTTTGCTTTTGGTGTCTACTAGTTGCTGCAATCCTACGATTAACCTGGGATCTGTATATGTAAATCATAAATCGTATTGTTAGTGGATTCACCTCCCTCTAAAACAAGGAGAATGCACTCTAAATAAAGATTACAATGTTTTAATTTAAAAGTCATCATTTGAGATCTAACAATATCATATTCATTATATATTAGCATGCATGTAATCATAATATCGTTGTAGATTTTCTCATCAATACTTGTAACAGCACTATATATTCTCTAACACGTCATCCTTCACAACAGAGGAGTCAAATTCATTTCTAGTACGTGCCATAGTACAGGACTAGAGAAACTCTTATCTGACGAGTTTGATTCAGAGTACAGGACTACAGGCAGCTAAACCAGTTTACACAACTCTTACTAGTTCTGAAGCATACAACAGGACTACCTTTACCCTCGAAAGAAAACCAAATCAGAACTCCACTCACAAAATAGCCAACAAGCATGAAACCAATAACAACAGAAACAAGAGAAAAGACGGAAATAGCACCTTAGCCGCAACAAGACCACTGATATGAGCCATGTCACACATTAACACTGCCCCACACTTATCAGCAACCTGTCTGAACCTCGCATAATCCCATTCCCTGGGGTACGAACTCCCACCACAGATAAGTATCTTAGGCCTAAAATCCATTGCTTTCTCCTCAAGCTTATCATAGTCTATGTAACCACTCTGAGGATTAACTTTATAAGGCAAAGTCTCAAAGAAAATAGACGCAGCAGAAACCTTCTTACCCCCATGAGTATAATACCCATGACTCAAATGCCCCCCAGAGGGTGAATCCAGACCCATAATCCTATCCCCGGGATGCAACATCCCAGTGTACACAGCAAAGTTAGCAGAAGTACAAGAATAGGGTTGAACATTAACACCCCAATTATTAGGGTGAAGATCAAAGGCCAACAACGCACGCTGGCAACAAAGCAACTCAATCTCATCAATGTACTGATTTCCTGTGTAGTACTTAGCCCCAGGCATTCCCTCAGAATATTTATTGCTTAAATGGCTTCCTAAAGCTTCCATCACTGCCCTGCACACAAAGTTCTCCGAAGCAATCAACTCTATTCCCTTGAACTGTCTTCGTTTCTCTTTCTCCATGATTTCGAAAATCTCGGGGTCCGCCACTCCCAGGGGCTGGTTCCACCACCCCACCGAGGAATCAACCGCCACACGCTTCGAAGGAAAACAGGGTTGTTGGTGTCCCTCTATCTTCCTCTTCACCCGCTGGTCCATGAAGTTAATTGTCTCGCCGTTGTATTCTTCCTCTTCTTCTTCTTTGGGGTGTCGAAACCGCCATGAAACAGAGTTGTCACTGAGAGGAGCCGCGGGTGACGACGCGCTCAACCCGAGCGAGAGACCCGGTTGAGAATCCATGGATTAAATCTGAAATGACAAAATGGAAGACGGGAAGTTTGTGTTTTCACGCGAACTGAGGTTATAAGTGAGTGCAACGACAACAGGAACAGAGAGAACAGGGGAACAGGGGAATAGGGGACGAGAGAAAACAGGGGAATGATGAAGAAGGTGTTTGGGTATGCATTGAGAGAGAGAGAGAGAGAGAGAGAGAGAGAGAGAGAGAGTGAGTGAGTGAAAAATGAAAAGTGTGTGTGAGGTGAGAGAATGAATAGAAGAAAGAAAAAAGGGTAGATAAAGGAGGGAAGGTGGATGAACCTGGATGAGATTCAGGAGAGAGCAGTGTGTTATGTCCATGGGGGGTGGAGCAAGGAAGGAATTCAACATGGAAAAGGAAAGTTGGTGCCACAAAATCTAAATAAACACAACGTTCACCTTAATTACGATCCTTAACAATAGTAGTAACAAATTCCATAATGTTTTATGGGACCATTTGATTCGACACCTGGACGGAATGCAGTCTAGGTTCACTTTGAGATGTTCTTGTGGGTGGTGGTCAACGATTTACAAAATCGTCCCCCAATTTTTTTTTTAATATTCTTTCTTATTTTTCTATATATTTTAAAATTTTGGTGCCTTTACGTAACCATATATTTTGTCTTGCAAATGTGAACCATTGGCTTTAAAGAATCTTAATGTCCATGCAAATGACATGTGTTCAGGGAACAATTCTAATAACCTGGCTATGTTCAAGTTGACCATGGTTCAAACATGTATGGCTGCCAAGGGTTCTGTTCTGTCAACCGGTGCTTAAAAGAGACTGATTAAAGAATATTTAATATATTTCGTGAAAAAATTCAATCATATTTTACATGTATTTTCTTCCAACAATCTCCAAGTCGGAATTAAAATGTTATTGTTGCACAATGTTAATTTTCAATAAGTCATAGCGAAACAGGGCATACATGCTCTTCAATTGTTTTTAGGATACCTCACCTAAAAATATACCTAATGGAAAAAAGTGTACCTAACTTTTCTTTGTTGAAATTTACATTATTATGCAACAGTGAAAAAACATAATGTTAAATAAACTTTCATACTTTGCCCTTTATATCATTACAGTTTTGCAAAGGCTAATGAATTAGAACTTGCAGCGTTGCAATTTTGTCAATTGTTGAAAGATGAGTCATTTATTCGTTGTTAGAGCAGAACACATGTAATAATACTGATTTTTTTAAAATTAAAAATATATACGCATTTTATGCATTCCTAACTTTTACGTTATATATACTGTCAATTTATTGCCATTTAGGAAATTATGAAAATGAAAAAGGTTGCGTAACATATATGAAATTATACAGACATTACCCAAAATTGTAATCGAGAATGAATCGTTGTGAAGACGTTCTTGTTGTTTTCGGGTTCTCTTTCTTTTGGTGCTTTCATGGTTGTCCTCACTCTATTTGTGGGGTTAATTGTTATTCTCTTTCTCTGATTCTCTCAATTATGGATCACATTTTGAATTCATCCCATCAAGTTCCATCACTACGTCAGCATCCATAGATCTGTGTTGTGTATGCTTGGTTACGTTACAAGACCGACTTCACATGCTTCTTTTAGATCTTATGATGCGTCTGCAGCACCAAACAAACAAACAAACAGGTACCCAGAAACCAAACAAACAGTTACTTAAAAACCAAACAAACAATTATTTAGAAACTAACGTGTACGCATTTCATGTTGTCAAATCACCCCTTATCCTTTTCACTGAAAACGCATGTAGTAGAATTTTTTTAATGTTTAGAATTATGAACCTTGGAGTTATATTTCTCATACGTAACTAAAATATATACGTCTGATATGAATATTCTTGGTATATAGATTCCTTTCGGTGAGGTAATAGAGAGAGAAAACTGATTTTACATATTATTTCAGTTATAGTCAATTCCAATACCTTAAAAGACAAAACTTCAGAGTAAGTTTCGTATATTCTTGGTACCAAGCTCTCCCTAAGAAAAATGATTTGTGATTATTTAAGACACTATAATTTAATGAAGATTATTTATTATTAAAAAAACGTGTCAGTGCTTGATCACACATGACAAGTGTATTGTAACTTAATCAATATTTTGTCCACAACACATTAGAGAGATGCAAACATAAAAGTAGGAATGATATGAACTTCATCAAAATTGTGTCTTGTTATAATATAGCACATAATACCAAAAAAACAAGAACAATAATATTGAGCAGTGAAAATATGATTCCCAATATCATCTTCATACAGTCAATCATAAAATGAATCTCACACCAATACCGAGATATAGATTGGTTTGCATGACTTTAAATAAAATCAACAATTATCACTTATAAGTTCTATTCTATAACTTTATTGAGCATTGCCTCACGGTAATATGAAAAGGTTTTGCAAGAGAACAGTAGAGCGTTATATCGCTAGACATACAACAGTTATCAGGGTCCATATGAAAGATTCACTTTAGAATTCAAACTGTGGTTGATTTTTGGTTGCCTTAGGCGTTTGTGCAGTTGAGCTTTCTAAGTATTGAGACAGGGAACAAAATGCCAGAAGAGCTCAAGAATGAACCATTTTTGGCTTCTGGTGAAAAATGGATTGCACAAGAAACTCATCGTTCTCTCATGAATAAAATTAATTCCCTTTGTCATGATGAAACAAAAATTCAAGTGCAGTGTGGGACACAAGTTCAATTTTGCTAGGTCCAAGGGGCTACACTCACTTCATGCCCAAATACCAAAATATTGAACACTAAAAGCATTTCAAGTGGACCAATGTAAAGATATCATGCATGAAGGTGGAACTAAACTTTTAATGAGTGAGTTAGAAAGTTCAAGAGACTATCTTTCGTCTATTCCGGCAGCTGTTGGAGGTTGCTCCAGGGAATTGTCAGGAAACACTGGAGATTTCTTAGTTCCAGGGCCTAATGAAACCTTGACGAGGGCTGGCCTAAGAACTCGATCTCTGAGCAAGAAACCACGTCGGGATTCTTTAATTATAATCCCTTTCTTGAACTCTGTTGACTCCTCACGTGCAATGGCTTCATGTTGCTACAACAAAAGTAAATCAAAAACAGATTAAACAATAGCTAAGTGACTACAAGGATAACTTTCTCTAAGGTTTCCATCAAACATGCCTTCAACAAGCAGGAACAATGTACACATTTTAGTTTCAAGCATATCTTGCAATGAAAACTCTCTTAAGATGGGTAAAATGTGCGGGCAACTTGATAATCAGAGAAGGCAAACCTATCAATAAAACAATATTTTACAATTAACCTTTCCTGATCGGAAAATTACTCCCGCCCCACCCTGCTTAATGCATTATTTGTACACTGTAATACCTATTATTTTAAAGGAAAAAGTATGTTTTAGATCTCTCAACATTTTCACAAATTTATCTTTGATCCTTATATTCTTACATGATCAATTCGGTCTCCCAACTTTTGAAAATATGTAACTTTAGTCTTTTTATACCTAATTTAACACTTAATTGTGATTTTTCAACTGTAACAAAGTTGATAAAATGACTAAATGTGATTTTAATAACATTTGATATTTAGTAACATTTGTTTATTGTTATAGAGTTGATTAAAGGACAAAATTCATTTTTTTAAGTCTGAGGACTAATTAGTTAACTTTAAATATAAGGTCCAAAACCAATTTTTCTAAAAAATATAAGGACCAAAAACATACTTAATCTTTTATTAAAATATTACACATATCACCCCAATTTTTATGTATAAACCGTACCCATGACACCCTCCAAATAACAAAGAGGCATGTAAAGGTCAGTGCAATTTTTCAATAAAAAGAATGCAGGTGTAATTACTAATAATCACGAACCTCAAAGGTGTTTGACCTAATGTACCCATAGTAAATAGTACGTTAAAGTTGAACCTGTGTTCATTTACCACAAAAGTATAGTAAAAAAGGCAATGTGTAGACTTTGAAAATGTGATAGGAAAACCAAGACAAGAATTATCTAGCTATAAAAAAATTAAAAGAAAAAACTAAGGAGTCTGTTTAATTCCCTTCTCACCTTTTTGTTTTGCGCGTTATAAAACAATTTCACTCTACTCACCAATTAATTTCTTGTCCAACAAATTTTGAAAATTATTTCTAAAACAAGTGTTTCAAAAACCAAAACACAGAAAAGCATAGATGTTATCTAATCCTATTTTCTTTCTGTTTTCTTCAAGACAGGACACCACACTCTTAGAAAACAGAAACGTACTTTGGGAACAAACACTTTCAAATGTACTGAGGGACAAACACATTTTAGAAAACAGCAAATTGCTGTTGAAAACAGTAAATAAACAAGGGCTAAGACTCTAATTTGTAAATTTGGTTTCAGCCTGACCTCATCAAGGCATTAGATATAACAAATTGATAGAACTCCTGTTATTCAAGGATTATTTTCACTAACAATACTACTAGAACAACCCCACTCACATTACTGGTAAAAAAATCCCAAACAAAACTTGATATGATTCTTGCCAAAAGGATCCTCTTTAAGATCCAGATAAGGAACAAATCCAAACAATAATAACTTCTCAAAAACAATTGGCTATATAGAGCGCCATTCAAAACCTTGTTAATGATGTTATGATTATACCTTCTGCTACTGCATTCTAATTATTGAATTTCATCAATTACATTATTTTGCTCATTGCTTTAACTATTAATTTATCTAATTTTAATTCTACTCAAAAGTCCCTTTTCTTTATTATTTGCACTCATTTCATAAAGAAATAAGTTTCATCAATCTACATAAATTCAACCCTACTCACCATCGTACTGAAATTATTTTCTATATTAATTGGATTTTCATCGCCATCACGTACCAATTCAAAACAACGGGAAAGAAATTCCGCATACAAAACCAAAGGGGTTTGCAAATTTAACTTACCAAGGGATTAAACGGCTTGCCCACTGTTGCTACCACTGAAACATGATGACTCCTCAGAACCTCTACAAATTGTTTGTAAATACCTTGATAGCTAACATCAATTTTCTTCTCTTTCTCTGTTGCTGCTTTAATTTGTTGTTTGGTTTTCTCAAAATGGTCCACCATCAACAAAAGCTTTTCAATGAGTTGTTGTTGGGCGTCAGATTGGATGTTAAGTCTTTCTTTGTCAACCCTTTTTCTAAAATTATCAAAATCAGCTTGTAATCGAATATATCTATCCTTGGAAGCAGCTTTGTCTGCTGATAAACTTGATACTTTCTGGATCAATTTATTTTTTCGATTTGCTGCTGAACATATTCCCTCTTCAATCAGAGCTACACTATTTCCATCACCATTAAAAAAGGCTTCTTTGTATGCTTCAAGGAGGACCATTAAACTGGGTAACGGTCTTTTATCTTCATCACCTTCTATCCCTCTCACATCATTCCGGGTCTCCTCTGTCTCATCATTTCTCTATGAAGGACAAGAGACAGAAGAAGATTTAGCTAGGTTAGGTATATAAATATAAAATACAGGATCTTCAAAGAGTGAAACAAAACTAACCTAATGCACCTTAAAATCAACAAACATCACGAAAACTAGTATTTTGATCAAGAGCAGTTTTGAAGCGGAAGAACAATTTGTATATATATATATATAAAAAAAAAAAAAAAAAAAAAAAAACGAGTCCTATGTCCCATTTAATGACTCCCTACTGATTTTATAATTTTGAAACAATATAATGATGTGTGTTATAGCACTCCTTTAAGCCCATTATGACAGGGTAGCAAGGAGAACAGTACTTGTGACAAATTCAAGATGCAGTACAATAGAATAATTAATTATCAAAAAATGAAAAATTGTAAGAATTGAACGAGTGAGAGCGTACAGTTGGAGGGAAGTCTTGGGAATACTTTAATGGGGTTCTTTGATTGAGAGAGGAAATTAGGGGGCGTGGAAGCCCGCGAGATGGAAAAGATTTGATTTGGGGTTTCAGGGTTTGAAAGGGTTTTGAAGAGAAGTGAGTAGAACAAGGACAAGAAGCCAGTAGAGATTGATTGAAGAGAAACGTAGCCATTGATTGCTTCTCTTCTCTTACTCCTGCTCGTCAGAGGGTAACAAACCAGAGATAGTGGGTATCCGTTCTGGGATGTCGTTGGATGTGTATTTCTGTAGTTCGTCCAAACCTCAAACCTCAGTTTTTTGTTTTTTGTTTTGTAATGATTAGCTTAAAATGTTCGTTTCAGTGTTTAGGTTTTCGTTAATGCTCTCTTTTCTCCCACGAAAAAAAAAATCTGTTCTATTTTAAATTTAGTATTTTTACGTAGAAAAATAAATAAATAAAACAGAAAATTAAAAATATATTTTTTAAAATTAATTATTTGTTTAAAGTAATTATGATTTTATGTATTTTAAATAATTATTTATATATATATTATTTAAATTACTTAAATAATATATATATATAATATAATTAACTATATACATGAATATTAGTAAAACATTGACAACATAATCAATGTAACAATGTAATCAATAATTATCTCTCTTGCCTTAAATCAAATAAAGTCTTAGCTTTTTATTCTTAATTGTTTTTAATAGTTTAAAGTTTATAAATCAAATATAATAAATGACCATCAATTTATGATAAACATAAATAAGGTGGGAGATAATTGTCATTTATTAAAAACATGAGTAAAATAAATCTATACTTTAAAAGTATGGGTAGGATGTTCGTGACTTGAAATTAATTGCGTTTAAATGATTTTTTTATTTTATCTAATAAAAAACCTCGAATTAAGTTGAGTTAGATTATGTTTTACAATTAAAACAAATTCAATTTTACTCTGATCTTTATCAGGCTGAACTGGGCTGGATGTCATGTTTTTAAAATATTTTCTTGTGTTGAATTTTGTGATTTTAAAACATGTTTTTGTTAGATTTTTAAAATATGAGTATATGAATGATTTATTTTTTTCAAAAATACATGTTTAATTAACATAATTATTAAATCAATCAAATAATAGTTATATTATTTTTTAATAATTTTAATCGAATTGATTTATATTATATTGATTTGGGTTAAATGATCACTGGTGTTGAATTCGAAATCGGATTTAATAAATATAATTCGTTAAAAAATTAAATGTAGTATTAACTTGGGTTTAAAATTTATATTATATATAAAGATGATCCTCTTTTTTACAATCTTTTTTTAATATCACTTCTTATAAGATAGATAGTATGATTTTTTTATCAAATACACCAAGGAATAACATGATACATGTAAGAAAGTTGAAAGAGAAAAATAAATATTTTTTAAAAAATAATTTAATAATTCAAAAAATGGACATATAGGTGTTTTAATGTTTATGTTTTTACTAATAATTATAAAAAAATAACATATATTTTTTATAAAACATTATGACAAATAATTATGTTAGTATTGATTTTCTAATGTTTTTAAAATTAAATTAAACATTGAATCCTTTAAAATATGGTTTACTTTTTTAACCAAATTTAATAAAATGATATTTTTACAATATAATAAATTATTAGTAATAATTTTTTTATAAAAAATAATAAAGATTATTATCATTTACAAACAAAAATATAAAATATTTTGGTATAAGATAAATAATTATTAAAATAAAATAATTATTATTTTAAATTAACGGTAATTAATATTAGATATAAAAAAATAAAATATATTATATCTGTTATAAAAACTTATATTAAAAATTTTGATTTTTTTTAATTAAAATCAATTAAAAAAACTTTAATTTATTTAATTTTACCAATTTTATTCTGATTTAATTAAAATTTAATTATTTAAAAAAACGAACATTTTTAATTTGATTCAAGTTAAACCGACTGGATTAGAGAATAAGTATAATTTTCAAAACATTTTCATACATTATTAATTATTTTATTAAAATTTTAATCATTATTATTAAAAACACAATTAATATTATCCAAGGTTAATCATTAAGTGATATATATATATAAAAGATAGATAGATTTTAGTTTCATCCAATAACACTGCCTCTTAATAATATATGTAGCATAAAATTGATTATTTTTTAATAATATTAATTACAAATTTATCAAAATAATTAGTATAATATGAAAACCATATAAATATTTTAATTATATTAAATATAAATATTTATATTAGTTATTATATAAAAAACTATCCTTGTGAAAATATTTAATCATTTTGATTAGATTGAATTAGTTCAAATTAAATATAAAATTTTCCCTTCCAATAATATTCTTAATCATAAAAAATCTTATTGCCATTTTATTAAAAATCACGAGAGAGATAAATAACATGCTAGCTAAAGGTTTGTGAGTATTATTTAACAATTGGGTAAGTATGATTTCTAATAAATATTTATAATGATATGTTTTAAAATAAAAATAATATGTAATAGAAAACGTTGATTAAATAACAAATGACGAATAAAAAATTATTTCATGACTCAATATATACATTAATCGGCAATTTCTGTAGGTAACTGAGAAACTATGTAAATGTTATTATAAAGTTTCTGTGTATTTAATTTTATTTTTAATGAAAAAATCATATTAATCTTGTCCTAAAAATGTACTAAAATATAAAAATTTATGTTACTACTACTACTATTATTATTATTATTATTATTATTATTATTATTATTATTATTATTATTATTATTATTATATATACATATAAGCAGTTTTTATGACTAATTTTGAGATCCATTTTTTAACAAATATTTGAAGTCTATTTTCTTAAAATGAAATTCGCTACATTTTTATTTATTTTATATATTTACATTTTCAATGAAAAAGAATAATAAAACTTCTCAAGAAATTTCCATCTATATATATAAATAATTTGAGATGCTGATATAACATCACAAAAATATATTATAAGTATGATAATTTAAAATTTTGAAAGTTAATTTTTTCTTGAAATTTTGATTTTTAAATTAAAAATATAATAGCAATAAAAAATAATAATTATAATAATTATTATTATTATTATGACCATTACTATTCCATTAATAGATTACTTTCTAAATAAAAGTACGTATTTATGATTACGACGCAGATTTAACCCACATCCTCATATTTAAAAATTATTAAAGTGTTCAAATTTTGTTTATTAATAACTGGACTTTACATACTCTTTATCATACACATTTTCTCTTTTATTTATATTTTTTAATACAATGGCTTTTTTTTTCCTAGTTCCACGGCATTTTTAATAATTTGACTTTACATACTTTTTTTTTTTTGAAAAATAATGATATTTGCTTCTATAATTTTTTTTTGTATTTTATTATGAAGAAAATTTGTCTACAGCAAAATCACTTGAGTAAAAGATAAAAAAGTTATGAATAACATTCCCTTCAATAAATTAATTATTTAATCTATTTTAATTACGAAAGTAGTTACACTTTGATTAAATTCATATTAAAAAATTATATATCTTAAAAACGTTATTATTAATTGAATATAATAGATCATTAATCCATAAATTCTTTAAAAAATAGTATAACAAGATAATATAAAAGTAAAAGCTAGAAAAATTATGATAATTTTAAGAATTCTCCGAAAATTGATTAGTACAATTTTTTGTAAAATAGTTAGTAATTTAGAAAAGTAAATGAACACCTTTCCAACTAAAAATGTTAAAGAGGCTCACGAAAATATTGAAAAAAAAATTATATTGCAAAGTTATTTCAATAATATAATTGAAAGTTCACGTTAAAAAAAATAAAAAAAATACATGACTTCTTTTATATATTATATATATAAAGGTGATTTTCATTTTTTTTATAACTTTTTTATTGTTTCTTATAATATAATATTACTTCTTATCAAATATATAAGAATATATATACATATATATATATATATATATATATATATATATATATTGAAAAAGTAAGAATAAAATACATTTAAAAAAAATAGAAAATTATTTTTAAAAAATAATATTAAAAAATCATAAACATATAAATATTTTACCATTTATGTTTTCACTAAAAAGAGAATTACACGTAAATTTCTCCCTCTATTTTTTTTAATAATATTATTAAAATAAAAGTTTACTTTTTATTATAAAGATGTATGTATAAAATTATCATTGTAAAAATTACACATCTCATCTAATTTAATATTCCTAGAACCACTTATTATTTCTTTCACATCAAATATTATAACAAAATTAAGTATAGTATTCATAAAAGACAAGAACAAAACTTATTATAAAAATTAATCAAATTTAAATTCATTTTATTTATTATACAAAAACTCATACTTAATAAAATTATAATTATTTTTATACTAAAAATGATGAACTAATTTATCCGTTCACTTTTTTTTATCTAAAATGTAAAAACACATAAAAGCAATGAAAAATTTAACAATAATTTTTTTATCCAATTTATTCGTAACGTTTCAATTATAATATTATAATCCTTAAAATCGCAAGATTTAAAAAATACATTACAATAAAATATTATTTTTTGAAATTTATTAATATTTTTCAAGAAAATCATTATAACTCTAAGTTGTGCTTTAGGAGTTTTTACAATACCAATATATTAAAAAAAAACACTCAAGTAAATTTTCATAAAATTTGTAAAAATATTTCCACTCGATCCATGTTCACATATAATATAACACTATCTACGTTACATTTTATACAAAATAATAATAGTAGTGATAATCTAGATAAAAATTTTGAAGTATTTAATCATAATATTAATAGAGTAATTTATTAACATTTTTAAACACATCAAAAGTAAATTGAAAAAATAAAACATTCCATTTTTTTTATATAATATCACACTATATAAATAATATATTACAATTGAAATGTGTTGCTCACATGCTCTTAATTTTAATGATAACCAAAAGCAAATTTTTAAGGGTACCACACTCCAATTTTTTTAAAATTCAATTTAAGTATTTTTAAATATTTAAATTAAATAATTTATTAAATTTATATTAATCTAAAAAGTATTATATATATATATATTTTTTTTTAATCTACTTAATTTTCTTATTACAAATAATAAATATAAATAATTAGATACATAATTAAAAGAAAAAAAAATGAAATAGGATTTGGAAAACAAAATATATTTTCTCACATTTTTTTAATTAATTTTTGCTGATATTGACAAAGAAACTCTTTTCAAAATATTTTAATGGAATAATAAATATTATATAGTTTAATTTAAATTTTATAAGTTTATTATCTTAATAGATTTTTAGAATATTTTGGAATCTACACGGAAAAGAAAAACCAATTTAGTCAAATTTATTATGAAAGAAAACATTGAACATAATATCGAAAAAAAGATAAAAATTAAAATAAAATATTACAACAAGTCACAATAGTTGTATTGTGCATAACAAAATAATAATAAAAAAACATTTTTTATTTATTTTTATCTTAAGCCCAAGTTGGTAAAATATATTCAATATCATTGAATGCGCATTACGATGTTTTTTTTTCATGGAATTTTAAATGTAATTAAAAAAAAATACAAATAAAGTTCTAATTATAATATATATTTCATGGAACCTATATGTTGAAGAAGATATAGAAGCATCCCAGGAAGTTTTGAAATTTCATTCTGAAACAAACTCTCTCTCTCACTCTCTCATATTCGTATATTCGTATCTTTAAACACTATAATTGTCTAAACCATTTCTTAGGTATGTGTACAAACTTTGATTGAAATATTATTTGAAAAAAAAAACTTACGTTAAAATAGTAATAACTTAGAAAAAAAAACTTGTAACTTAAAAGAAATATATACTAAATTAATTAAATATACTTTTTGTGATATGATGTAATTTGTTTTCACTGAAAAAAAAAATTGTTAATAAGAGGTTCTGTAATATACTTAATGTTAAAATTTATTAAAAACTCAAATATTAAACGAGATGAAAAAAAAAGTGTAGTATTAAAAAAAAGGCAGTTATAATTATTATTATTATTATTAAAAAACATATTTATGTCTAACTTTTCATATTGTGAAATCTCCACGCTAGTAAGAAAATTTGATATCATAAAATAGGTTTGGGTTTCATTTGTAAAAAAAATATATATATATATATATATATATATATATATATATATATATATATATATATATATATATATATATATATATATATATATAATCAAAATGCTAACACCACTATGGATTGATAATGAAAACTTCCTTAATTAGGCCGTATCAAATGCATAACCAATACAACATCAAGAGAGATAGCATGCTTAGAACTAACTAACAGCGCAGAGATTACGTCAAAATGAAGATAAAAATTGAGACCGCAAAATATGCAGTAAACCAACAAAAGCATTACTCGTCCAAAAAAAAGAAAAATTGTATTTCTTATATATCATAAGTTGTGCTGCAAAAAAAAAAAGAAATACCATAAATTGTCAAATGCCGATAAAAAAAATGTCAGATACTAAGATTTCTCTTTTTCTAACTATTACGGAGTTGGGTCGCAAACTCCAGTGTCAATGGGTAATGCTTCCAGACGGGAAGAAGTTCCAACCTGGATGAAAAAAAAAAAAGTTGATAAAAAAGTTTCAAATGAAAGTTATCAATGCCTTCAAAATTTATATCAAACAACAGATCAAGTTAACCACTGTAAACTATTCAAATAATATAAAATCATGTGAGGGGCAAGAGTTAAAAATTCCCTTTTCTACAAGAAGATGCAACTTCTATCCTTTCCAACAAAAATTTCATATAATAAAAAAGAAATATTCATCTATTGTGTTCTATTTATGGTGGTTTCAAAAAGATAATTCTTCCTCTCACAACCATAACTATCACTCGCCAGCCTGCCATGATGCAAAAAGATCTTATCATCCAAGTTTAAATTACGATAATCTAAATAAGGAAGAAAAATTCAGATTATGGTTTTTCACTTTACTGCAATACAAATAAATCATAGATTATGAATTTGGCTCTGTACAATCTAAATAATATATGTAAGTCACAATCCAAATACACTAAAAAAAGCAAAACCATAAATGCATCACACTTATTCGGGGGACTAAATATACGTGGAATTCAAATCTATTGGGCACTCGGTCAGAACAATCCCTAAAAATATACAAGTCGTACATTCAAACAAAATTATGAACAGAATATAAGTAAATGAGCTAACATAATCCATCTTTTCAGCACGAAAATCAGTAGCCAATTTTGTAATTAATTCGTTTGGCAGCAAGAGATTGATTTTACTTGGTTATAAGCATACCTGTACACATATGTATGATATAGTCATGGCTACTTTCATAACAATCTCATCTGTCAAGGCTTTTATCTCCTGTGTCACCAGTACCTGACAAACCATTTTGAGCAGGTTTCAAAATGGTTGCACCAAATAGCTGAAATGAATTAGACACAGGTTTTATTGAGTTGCTGTTGTGTTTCTCAACAGGGTCTAGGACACAGGAATGGAGACTATTACGACTATCAGGTGACAATTCATCAGATGGAGAGCTGCCAACATTTAGTTCAGTTGACAAAGTGTTCACCCCTGGAAATGAATTGTGCCCTAAGGAATTACCCATACACAGACGAGACATGTCCCTTGGATAATTGGAAAAACTTGATGCAGAAAATACATCATGCCTGGCTCCCTGCATGCCAGCAGGAAAAGTATTATAACCCCACCATGCCTGATTCATGTGTCCCATTGATGAATTAGTGAATCTGGTCATAGAAAAGGGCTCTCTCTCTCCATCAGTAAAGACCCCAGAACCATGAGCAGTTCTAAACCTTTTTGCTAGGGGAAATTCTGAATGAAGTGCAGGTGCGGTAGAAACAATTTCCACCTGCCAAGGGCTAACCCACTTTGCATTCTGCAATACTTCAGGTTCATCCCATGTAACCTATGATGTTAAAATCAGAAAAGATAAATAGCCAGTATCAGTCATTTGAGAGATAACATAACTTCTAACTTTGTGAATAAAAGTTTCTTTTAATAAAAAAAACTTTTTGTCACGAAAATAATACTGAGACTCAAACATTAGAAATTACGGACATTCAAAATGCTCTGTTTAAAATTTTTCCCTGCAAAAGTCAAAACACAGATAAACAAATGCATGAACAAAGGTGTAGAAATTCAACAGGCAGAATAGACAAGACAACAAAACTACATGTTACCCTAAAATAGCAGATAATCTTAGTTATCATACTGCACTTTCCCCAGGTCAATCTATTCATGCATTTATCATACATTAGCTAAAATGATAAATATAAATTACAGTGAACCTTCTCCAATGCTTATATGCCCCAAAGAACGTGCCAATCTTCTGTTCTCATATTTCGCCAGAAAATAAAGTTAATATATTTTTCCTTGCCCGCATTCCATCATCTTGAAAGCAACATTATATACGATAATAGAACTATAAACGACAAAAACATTCTCAGGAAAAATTCTTTATAAGATAAGACATGTAATTCCGTGTAAGTTTCACTCCACAACGACAAAAAACTGACCCCTATCCATCTACGAGAATGAAATGACACAATGAGGGGTTCTCACCTTTCAGCATCAGTTCGTGTTGAATAAAGAACAGTTTTACAATCAATACAATATTAATGAGAATCATGATCCATGCATGAATGAAAGGTTATAGAAAATCCACAACAGACCAAGAATTGTATCATACTCATATAGCCAAACATTTTGCAAGCAAATGCAGAGTTCTAAGTAGATAGTTGTCGCTGGCTAATTAAAAACTCTGTTGCCCCACCCGCATACATCCTAGTCTTCCTTCATTTTAAAATTCAACAAGGACAAAAGAAAGACTCAGCGTGATTACTCGTGAATCTCACACAGAAGTTTTATTTCACCATCTCCACCCCTATTCCACTAATCCTTAAACCAAAACTTCGCTGCTACGAAAGTAAAATTCACAAAACATAATACCCACACACACACACAGATATATATATATATATATATATATATATATATATATATATATATATATATATATATATGCGTGTGTATATATATAATTTATACCTGAAGAAACCACGTCAACCAGAAAGAATTAACCATATAAATAGTATACCTGAAGCATGCGCCAAGGAGAATCGCGCCATTGGCCATTATCGTGCGATGAGATAGCAGAGACCGTACCCTGAAACCATGTCATCCTAGACGAATCATCGGTCTCCATAGACATCTTCACTCTCACTCCAGCGCTCCATGGTTTCCTCATGGATTCATCCACAGCCTCACTGTTCACGACAAACTCAGAGCAACCAGCCTTGGGATAATAAACAACCTCAAACGGCATGTTCCGCACTGCCAACTCCGCCGCCTCCGCAACCACCTTCGCCGACAGCTTCCCCTTCCCATCCCTCGAGAAAACCTCCCTCGCCTTCTCTTCATCTTCCTCCTCCTCCTCTTCTTCCTCCTCCCCCTCCTCCTCAATTAACCTGAGCTTCGCGCCTCCGCCGCAGCTCTTCCCCGGAGAGAAGCGCGTGGCACGGCGAATTCCGACGAACAAACGTCCTGCGGCATTTCTCATGAACACGACGGAGTCCCCGGCGACAAGCTTCTTGTTGTTGACAAAAGTGCTCCAGCCGGTGGTGAGCAAGTGGCGGCGCGGAGTTCCACGGTAGATATGGCGGAACTCCCAGGTGAAGCCATGGACATCAGTGACGGAAAGGTTCTGCACGGGCGGGTCTGCCTGGAAGTCTAGCGGCGGGAAGATGGAGTCCGCGCAGAACCTCGGCACGGAGAAGCCCCCGCCGTTGTTAGCATCAGATGGTGTGAGAATCTTGGCGAAAGAAACGATCTCCTTGTCGTCGTTTCGCAGGGGAGCGGGAGCAGCAATAGGTAAGGGTTCCCCAACATAGTTATCAGCGACAGGTTGGAGAGTCATCTTGGAGAAAACCTCGTCGGTAAAAGGATCGGCGAGAAATTGAACCGAGGTGGTGCTGCAGCGAACGCAGGGTCTGCTCAGAAGATAAGGGGAGAGATTTCCCGGTGCCGAAGAGGCTTGATCCAAATGTCCTTGAGGGAAGTAGTAAACTATAGAATTTGGCTTCGGGATTTCGCCGACAGCTCCTGCACAAGCTTGCCATATCACCTGCTCCATGACAGCAGGCTGCTGCGGCAATGGTGGTGGCGGTTGCCTAGGCATTATCACAGGAAAAAAATTCAGGATTGGTCACATTTGAAGGGTTTAGTTAGGGTTTTCAAAATCACAGAATACAATGGTAGTGCTTCTCTTTATAGTGTTTGTATACAGCATCTTGAAAGGAAAGATAACATTAAAACTGAATAACATGGAGATCTTCTCACTTTATCAACTAATGCTATGTCCCCTGGAATTCATATGAGACGTTCAATTACTATTTTACCCCTTTCAATCTATAACCGTATCCGAAGATTTTTCCATAGACATTATTTATCTGTAATATATTACAGCTTAACAAATTCTATCACTTTATTTATTTATCTCCAACAGTGAAAAGATGTAGTGCTACTCTTATTAATGGGTTTTGTTTATGTACATTTAAATTTGTGCCCTCTCTGACTTACTTCATTTAATATCGTACTGTTTAAGAAAAATAATGTGTCATGAAGTTGGCTCATTTATTTTTTTTATTAATGTAAACATATTTCTAGTGTGCATACCAACTAAATTTTTAAGTGGATTTCACCCATAACTCTTTACATTTTCACAATACCCCATTATTTTTATTTGTTGTGCCCTTACAATATTGATTATCTTGTAGTTGATTCACATATTCCTTTAATAATAACGGAAAAAGAAAATGGAAATATTTTTAATCAAAATATATTATCTTCTAACAAACTAGTGTAACAAATACCATTCAAGATCGACAGAGACTGTAATTCATAATATTAGACATTTTTTATATAGATTTTTTTAAGATTTTATTGGTTAATAATTAATTTAATTATAAAAATATTTTAATTTAGCAATTTTTATTAATATTTTGGTAATGCTTGTATGAATTGGTACTTCACACAGTAATATTAGTCTTAACTTAATTTCTCAAATTCTTTTCTTTACTTGTAAGTGGTAATTACAAAATGCTGAATCATAACAAAACTCTAAATATAAAAATATAAAATAAACAGATTTTTTTTTCTGCTACATGGTATGGTCTGTTTAAGTCACTAAAATGTTCTGAGAAAATATGAGTGTCCGCTTTAAGTCACTAAAATGTCCTGAAAAGATACGTCCAGAGATAATCGCGAAGGTCGGTAGAGATTTTAATTTGCAGCATTTTTTTTTTTTAGATTTTGAGTAATAAAATCCAGGTTTGGATTGAATCTCCCACTGTCTAACCCAGATTAGTATCAAGTTTGGATTAAAATCATTATTATTGTATAAAATAAATATCATAAATCTATTTGAGTCACCAGATAATAGATTTTATCTTCAGCCTTATCCATGACCAAGCCATTCAGTCATATAGTTTACCTCAGCCTAACACGTTCTATTTAAAGGTTTCATTCTTAGGAGTATCTTTATCTTTGTCTTCCAAACACATCGCAAAAGATTACCTTTTTAATTCCTTTATATATTTTATGGCAAAACTATGATGCCATAAGTTTAGTGTTAGGATTCCAAAAAGCACACTGCAATAATTATCCAAGACATCAACACAAAAAAGTTTTGCACATTGGAACAATATATGTGTAATGGTTTTTACGGCTTAAAACTAAAATACAAAATATTTTTCCGTCTTCCTCAAGTTATCCTCCGTAGATAGTTTGTCTTTGAGAACTATTTCATATCTTCAACACATTTTAGAGACAATCTCAAATTTTATATATTGAATGTTACAATAGTGGTTTAACTTGTTAGACTGATATGTACAAGAAATATATTAGAATAAAAAAATTACAATCTAATTTAGACTTGGATCCCTTTTATTTAAGTACTGATCTATATCGATGGATCAATATATTTTATAAAATAATTATTATTTTTAAAATACAAATAATATTATTTTATTAATATATATATTATAAATTAATTTCATAAGGAATTTACTTATACAAATAAATTTTAAAATAAAGTTTGTAATAATTATTTATTTCAAGATTTAATAACTAAGATTTAATTATTATTTTAAATTAATAAATTATTGAAAATTAAATTATAATAATACAGAGATAAATTTTATTTTTTATTTTAAAAATAAATAAATGATTTTTGTTTTATATTGATATTTTTTACAATAATAATAATTTTTAAACCTAGAACCTTGTTTAAATAACTTAAAATGTTATTAATGTTAACCGGTGTTATATATTTTTATATTTAACAAAAAAAACTGTTAAGATTTGAAATAATAATAATATAAATTATTGTGATCACATTCGGTTATATGAATTATTGTAGCTAAACATAATAAAAATCAACCCATAAACCATCCTGACTATCAATTATTTTAACTTTTTTTTAATCTGGTACAGCTATTTGGTATAAATTGTTTATATTAAATTTTCAATTAATGATGCGTGATTAATAAGATATTTATTAATCATACGTGAGCCATAAAAGTTTCAAAGTATAAAGTCAACAATAAAAACAAATGGTAGAGTCCAAATTTGGAATTCACCTTTATGATAAATATACCAGACAACTTTCTTCGAATAATATTCTCGTATTCTATCTTATTATTATAATTAGAAATCTTAGATAAAAAATTAATAAAATAAATATTTTATTATTTCTAAAAAAATGTAAAAATATACTATAATTTAATTTATTATATTTTAAAAATTATTTTATATAATAAAATTGAAATTTTACAAATATTATTATTAGGTTATAGTTATAAAAAAAAATTTCGAAGTATTTTTTAAATCACTGATTAATAAATTATAATTATATTAAATTACTAAATAAAAATATATTTGACTCATAAATATTTTGTATTTTTAATTAAATACATGAATATTTGATTTATTACAATAAAATGATTTTAAAATAATTATTTATATCATCATAAACAAAATTATTTATTATCATAATAAATAAAATTATTTATTATCCAATCAATCTTATAAATAATATATTAAAAAATATCATAAATAGTATATTAAAAAAATTAAATAAAATTTATGTAAATTTATCTAATCAATTAAAGTTTAATAATGAAAAATAAATTCATTATAAATCTTTTTTTTCTTTTCTTATTTATCTTTTAAGTTTTCTCTCTTTATTTATTTTTTGTTATTCTTTTTTTCTCTCTCTGCTTGTTTTCATTTTTCTCTCTCCTTATCCTTCTTTCACTCATCTTTTAATTAAAAATACGAAATTAAAATTGGATAAGACATGTCTTTTATTATTTAAAAAATATTTAAATTATCTAAAAATACTATAATAGTTTTTTTTATTAAATACTATCAAAAAATAATATTTAAAATTAATTATTTATGTCATCGTAAATAAAATTATTCATTATCATCATAATTAATTGGTATTTCTTAGTTTTAATATTAATTTTAAAAATTGTGCATTAAAACAATCATATGAAATTTTAATAAATTTTAATATAGTAGTTTTAATTATAAGAGTGAGTGGAAAAAAAATTGAAAACAATAAACTAGTAATGATAAATTAATAGAGAATTTGAGTAATTTTACTTTTGAAATATATTATATATTGGATTGATTCAAAATTTATTTAAATAGAATATTTGTAAATGTATTTATCCAACTGGACTGGTTTATCTTTATACATAAAATTTAATAATAAAAAATAAATTAATTTTATGTAATACAATTATTTTTATTTAATTTCTCATTTATTTTTTTATTTTTTCATTTTATTTATTGTTATTCTTTTTTTAATTGTTTAGTGTTTCTTTCTCTTTTTCTCTCTCCCGTCTTTTATTTTTGTTTACTCCATCTTATTTTTTTCATTAAAATATTAAATGAAAATTTGATAAAATAGATTTTTAATGGTTTATAAAAAATAAAAATATTTAAATTATCTATTGTAATATGCTCGTAATTAAAAGAAAAATAAAAAGAAGAAGAGATAGAAAACTTGGTTTTCTTCTTCTTCTTCGTACAAACGTATCCCCCATCTCCCTAACTCAGCTCTACCTTCTCTCCTACAGATCAAGACTTCCTTCTTCCCCAATCAAGAATCCGAGACCGCCGTTGTGCTCACGACGGAGAATAGCGGAAGACCCACCGATTAGAATTTCGTTTCGGTAAGTTTGAATTTTAGGGTTTTTGCTAGTTAAAATTTGGGGTTTTGAGAATTTAAGGAATTAATTGTGGAATTAAAGGTTTCCTCTTACTCTATCACTCCCCAATTTCATGTTTTCGGGTTTAATTTTGTTTATTACTTCAATTTCGTTTTAGGGTTTTCCAAATTGGGGGAGAACGGTACAAATTAGGTGTTTTGGCATTCCTAAGGTTTTATTGGAATTAGGTTGACGTGTAACATCACCCTCGGGTAAGGGAAGCTTCTTTAATTTTTACTTGGTTTGTATTGATGAAAAGTTTGATAAAGTGAATGATGAGTATGTTTGTGATATATATATATATATATATATATATATATATATATATATATATATATATATATACGTGCTATACGTGATATGAGAGTATGTTTGTGAGATATATATATATATATATATACGTGCTATATGTGATATGAGAATATGCTTGTGACACATATACGTGCTAGATGTGATATGATATTGTGAGTACTGTGGAAACCTTGCAGGTGTAAATCGTTGTGAAATAGATATCTTGAGTATGTTTGTGAGATATATATATATATACGTGCTATACGTGATATGAGAGTATGTTTGTGAGATATATATATATATATATATATATATATATATATATATATATATATATATATATATATATACGTGCTATATGTGATATGAGAATATGCTTGTGACACATATACGTGCTAGATGTGATATGATATTGTGAGTACTTGTGGAAACCTTGCGAGTGTAAATTGTTGTGAAATAGATATCTTTGTATCATTGCACTTCCAAATTGTATGGTTGGTTTGTGTGGTTTGAAGGAGAAATGATGTACCGTTTTAAGTGAATTATGATTGCATAGTAGTTGAGAATTTTAAATATTGGACTGGACATTTTGAACTCGTATGATGTT